AGAGAGGATGCACAAGAGAGGAGCCTGATAGATCAAAGACAGATGGGTTACATTGGAGAATATGAAAGAAAGCAAGAAGGGACAAAAAGAATTTAAAATAATTGGGAAGGGGTACGATAACTATTACAGGCTGTATTCTGAGAGTCTGCAGAAGCTTCCTCATCACAGAACCACATTACACAGATATTCAAGACAGTCTTTTATTTCTGTATTATCAGGCCACACATTGCAGTGTTTTCATGCTACATTTTCACTTTTATAGATCAATATGACAAAAGGTATCTGTACTGACATGTCATCTGATTACAGGAAAAAAAATCTTCTTACATGTCAATAACCAGATGGCATTTTGAATGGAAAAAACCAAACCAAAACAAAGATCCTTTGCTTAATCCATATTCAAAGATGATTTCATCAAAATACTATTAGAACAAATAATGTTCTGTGGAAATGTGTTTGTTTTAGTCCATCTTAGGATTTAGGTGTTTTAGAAATGGGCCGTTAAACTGTCAACACCTCTGTGACTATATAAAAAGATTGATGGGTATGTAAGTTGTATATAGATTGGAGATTGGACTAAAGGAATATAAATGCCTTTAGAAACCTTTGTATGCCAAATCCATCAACTGTTTGGCCAGAAAACCAATGTCTGAGAAACAGCCTCCTAAATCCACTGAGGAAGGACATCTGTACTGGTAATATTATTGATTTAATTAAACAGTATCATCATACTAGCTATGATCTTCCTACTGGAAGAGGCTTTGAAGGTTTCTTAATGATTTGCTTTTGTACACTCAGATATATTGCTTTCATTTTTTTCTTTGCTCTGTTGTACAATTTATGACACACCCTTCTGTGAGCCCCATCATATGCTCTGTATAATCTTGTCCTTTTTACACTATAGTCACACAGGATTATTCATCAAATAACACATGCTCAGTACTTAACATGTGCACTGTAAAGCAGGGCTTGTGTGGAAACACGCTGCTCTGAGTTGTAATTCAGGCAGCCCCAAAGCTCCATTCGTTCTGGGATATGTGTTTTGCAGTTCCAACTAGTTGACATTGCCCGAGCTTTGCTTGTGCACAGAAGTTGAGAGTCATGGTACACCACAACACAGCAGACAGCAAAGTTACTTCTAGAAAATGGAAAAGAAATGCCTAGTAAACTCTGGAGAAACCCAGTTCGCCTCCCATCCCTTGGCCTCCCTCGGTCAAGAATAAAAGGTTCTTCTTTAAGTTTTGCACTGGAGAAAACAGAGCTAGTAGACTGTCGAGATAAAAGTCTAATGTGTTTAAAAATGAAAACAATTTCCAGTGTCAGTACCCTTTCTCATTTTTCTTTTCCACTTTATGTCACTGTAGTCATTCTCAAAGAACAGGCCATTAATCCTGCTTACAATGACTGATGGTCATTTCAGCTGCAAGAGTGAGGTCACTGGTTTATGGAGGTTATAGCTGCCTTTGGGAACACGAGATGATGAAAGAGAGTTGACTGACTTTTTTTTTGTGTAATTTGAGCGTACTGGTTTTCATTTAAAACAGAATTTTTGAAATTCTGTTCCAACTGTCTTTACAGGAGCCATTAGTTCTAATTGAGAAACAGCACTGATGTTGAATGTGAGACAGAAAAAAGGGTGGAGGTGGAATCAAATGGCATAAACCAGAGTAATGTACAGTATGAAGAAGGGCTAACAGTACTTCCAAGATAATGGAATAATCTGCTTTCAGTTAATGAATACAGAAACTTGTGGAAAATATTTTTATATGAAAACTAATAGCAATGCGCCCCATTGTTTATTTAAATGTAAATCCTTGAAATGGAACTAAAAGATGCGTAACTACAAAGGGTCTTTTTAAGTTGTCATGGGTTAAGATTGACCCCTCCCTGAGAGTTGGGGGCTCAGAGGTGATTGGGTGCCAGGGCAGTGTTCCCTGGAGAGTCAACCACCACTCGTCTTGTTCGCTTCTGCTAAAAAATCATATATACACAGCACCGGAAGCTGCTGGCAATTTCTGTTGGTGTCTGCTGCGTGTAGGTGTAGAAGGCCAGGGGGTGGCTGGACTCCTTCTTCCCCCCCCCTCCAGGCGGGAAGGGGAGCCCTGCGGCCCCCAACTCGGCCTAGGCCAGAGTTGGAGGCAGCATTGAAATGAGTGTGTGTTGTGAAAGAAGAGATTCACAGCACCTGAGGTAAGAGGGAGAGGCAGGCCCCTTGCAAGGAGGCCAGGCCCTCTTCCCCCACCCCGCAGCTGCGGGACGCTTGGGACGGTGTATAACTTGACTGAGCTGCCTGTGGCCAAGGCTAGGGAGCTTTTCCCCCTCACACTGCATTGAGGCTGGTGGGGGGTGGAATTTAAGGCTTAGTATTGAAGCTAAGCCAGGAGACAGGCCAGAGGAGGAGGCTCGGTTGCCAGGAGAAACAGTTGTGATTCATTGCAACAGTTGGAAGAACTTCGGGCAAGAATTGGAGATGGGCCAAAGGGCTCGGGAGTTGCCCTACAGAGGTTTGACTGGGGGCAGCTGAAAACTGACTCAGAGGACGTTGATAAACTGACTGAACTACAGCAGCCTACAAACCAAGGTATGAGAGGACGGACTTAAAGCTATCTTCTTGGACTTCGTGAGGAGAAAAGACTGCAGCAAACAGCTGGAGGTTGGTGAGGGAGTGTTCAGGGGCCCTGAACACTCCCACAAGAGAGAGACTGGTTACTTATCAGCCTGAAAAGGTTTTTCCTGGACTAAAGTTAAAAGGAGAAGCTTCAAAGGGACTGATAGAAGTGTAATAATATATATATATGGTTGCTTTTAGTTTGTACAGTATATTTATTTGCGTAAATAAATGTAAATACTTCCCCTTTCCCCTACAGAAGCCTCTTGCCTGAAAGTTTTCTCTTCAGCGTTTAGATAAATTGTGGGAAGGGGTGGGGAAGCCTGGAAATTGGATTTTGGATTTCTAATGTGGCTCAAACTGCCACATAAGTGTATGACCAAGGTTTTGCTAGGAAAAGTGGTATTTTGTGTTGCTCTGAGGGACCAGAGCAACCATGGGCAGACTCTTTCCTGATGTGGCATAACACTAGCGACAAAAGACACAGCAAACCACTATTTGCAGTGTAAGACTGACATAGCCTTTGGAATCTATAGATTTAAGAAAAGTGCTTAATTTCTTCTCTCTTTAAAAATAGTATAAGCAATGGAGATAGCGTTTCTCACAGTTGTGCATTAGTCCACCCATAGTCCATCCATAGTACCTCAAACCAGCACTATATCTTGGGATCTATACAGGGATCTGTAGGAGGTCCAGCTCAGCTCCTGTTATCATATGTAGCCCTTCTTCATGTCCATCCAGCCCCAGATCTTTTGAGAGGATGGATGTTTGAGAGGACTTTGGTCTTATTCCACTCAGTGAAGAGTTTTGTGTCATTTGATAAGCACATGGCCACAGAAAACATCAACCCTGAAAGCCTGTTACTAGAGACAGGGAGTTTCAGGAGCAAAAGAAAATTACAAAGACATCTCAGGAGACTAGATCAGTAAAGTGAACTGAAGGAAGTTCAGTACCAACAGAAAATATTTAAAAACAAGTGTCTGCTTCATTACATCATGGAATGGGAAAAAAAGAGAATTCAACAATTGTTTTTAACTTTTTCTCATTAGTCAATTTTTACTCTTTCATGTACTTCAGGTAAAAGTGGATCTAAGACCAGGGAATGAGATATTGCCCAATTAAAGATTTTCCTTAAAGTTAACAATAGAGAAGAGCTAAGATCAAATTTCAAAACAGTGGGCCAAAGTTTGCGATATATGTACCTTGAAAAAATTTTCTTCTTAATGCTTTATAATAGCTAAAGTCAAATGAAAATAGCCTTTCCTTTGGTTTAAGTTTGAACTTCGTTTATTTGAGACAGTTTTTTGTGTAGCATCTCAGACTGTATGGTAACTAACAATATAAAACAACAATAACAATAAAATAACAATATAAAAATGGTGCTGGCCAGTTTGATTGAGCATGTGGTTGATTTAGTGGAATTTTTTTGGGGCAATACAGTATATAGTATGTGCTTCTGGTGTGTTCAACAAACATTAAAAAATATAATCGTGCAACATATCTCACCATTGCCTCAGGCATGTCACAAACTTTAAATAACTAGGAAAAATAATGAAAAATAAAGGTTTGATTCCTAGCTCTGCAGAATTTAGACCATTGTTGTTCCAGTACAAAAAAGGGGAATGAATTTCGTTATCTCACCATTATTACCTGTGAAGAGGGAATGTGTAAAGGTGAAGCTTGTAAATGGGCCTTATGATCTTAAACAACAGAACTATTTTGGTTTAAGGCAAGAAACCTGCAGCAAGACTTGCCAGTGTGATTACCAAACTGAAGCCTGGACTCAATGTACAATTTATATGTCATGAAGAACTATTTATAAGGAGCTGTAATTTTAGTAGATACAAATTGTTGTACAGGTTAACCACATCATCTCACCAGCTGTCTAAATCTGCTCTGGGAAGAAACAGGGCCAAGCTGTTAAATCCTTGCTCTGATCTACTATATGGATTTAGAAGTTTATTAATTTTTTTTATGTGTGCTTGAGCACAGAAATACCATTACTTGTCATTTGTGATGAGACAGCCTTAAAAAAACTTCAGAGGGATAACTGTTAAGGGATTTCAAAAAACCTTAAAAAATGCCAAGGCGATGTATTCACTCTTTCTGTATCTGTAATGGTCACAATTGCTGTGATCACTTGTGATGCCCACTCTTGCCTGGTGTGCAAAGCCCTGCCCGGACATCTGGCTCCCTTACTACAATGGTGCAGAGTGTAGGGCTGAAGCTGTGACTCCAGTTGTAGCAAGTGAGTCTGTCTCCTGTACTGCTGCCTGTGTTGGCAATGGTGTTTTCAAGTAACACAATATTTGATGGTTTGTTTTCTAAGCTGTTTTACGTCGAGAGGCCAGACAAAGACCAACAATAAATGAGAAGAGACGGAGACAAAAGATGGTTGGTAGAAACAGGCAGGTGCTCTTTATTTCATGTGGCACAGCATTAGGTAGACAACCCAAGAAACAGTTTCTAACAAACACCAAAGCCATCACTTCCAGGAACCATCCCCCAAACAAGGGTCTACTACCAACAGTGGCACTGAGATGTCCTTGCCTGTCCACTCTCATCTCCTCATAGTTTGTATGTGCTTAGGCTGTGTCTTAGCGGTGAGCGTCCTTTCCAAGGAGACTAACTTCTTATGACACAATATCTTTAGACAGCATACATACTGTGCAGGATCACCAGAGTACAATCTCCTCAAGCCATGCTAAAATATAATGCTAACTCTGGAGAGAAGGCTGTGTGATCGCCTCGTGTCTCTCTGAGGTAATACAATGCTGTTCCTTAGCTGACAACATGAGGGGCACCTGAGGGAGGATCGATATGGCTTCAGAGTCTATTTTTAAACTCCCGATGCAGTAGGGAGGACCTGGCATGCTGTCTGCCGAGACAAGGTGAGGACCTCCTCCACCCCTGGCTGCCAGCAGCACCAGAGAGCTGAGCCTACTGTCACCCAGAGGGATGAGAACAGAGATGCTCTTGGACTAGGAGAGGGCCATCAAAATTCACAACGAACCGGCGGTTAGCAGGTGAAAAGTGAGCAATGATGGGAGTTTGGGGGGGGGGGTGTGTGTTACATCATTAGCACTCTGGATTTAAAGGCATGAAGAATGGCTGGTGGAAGGAAGATGTTTTAGAGACTAAGGGTAAAGCTTTAAAAGCCTCAGGATATTACTTTTAATTATTATCTACAGGTTATTCTCTCTATATATACTATTTTTTTTTCTAAATTATGAAAATAAACATTTATTAACAAGTCACTGGGTCAAATCCTGCTCTCCAATGAAGCCAAATCCATTGACTTCAATGGGAGGGAGCCCTGTGTAAACAACGAAGGGCAAATTTGGCCCTTTATGTCCTGAAAAGTCTGCTTGTACCCATTTTCTTTCAATACTGCAAAGAAATACAGATTGAAGGGTGAATTAATTGTTACATATATCTCTTAAACTACCAGGGGAGTGTCAATGAGATGTGGCAAAGGAGCAGAAAGAGAACCGTAAGTAAGTACTGATTTAAAGAGAATTTTATCCATATTTCAGAACAAATGTACTAAAAGAGAGTGGATCTGGATCAAGCCCTACTGTCCTTTACTTTCTAAGCAATGACAAAATCCTTCATTTAGCTTCAGTGAAATGTTTACACAACCAGAGAAAACAGAAGGAACCAAACAGTCCTTTTCCTTTGCTAACATCATATGCACAAAGGTGAACACCGTCATCCCTTCGGATGCTTTGCTAACTCCCACTGTCTGCACAGTGCAGCGTCAGCCGCTGAAGACAAAACACATCTACTGTGCACACGAGTAAAACCTGTGGTGTCCTACAAATGTAACATTTTGATGTTTTGAATATTAAAAACCTCTAGGTGCTTTTAGACACAGAACAATACGATTTTGGATGCATTTACCACTTTTATTTCACTATGCAGAAACATACATTCACCATGTGTTGTGATGCAGCTGACAGTGTAATGGACGCTATCCCTTCTGTGGGTATTAGAGCTGGACACTAATGAGTTTTTGGTGGATGTTCTGTACAGGTTAAGGCTTGACTCTGAACTAGATAGTAAATGCTGACCAGATTCTCAAACAGATTTTCTTTTTCCTCTGAGAACAAAAGGGAAATCAATAGAAAACCATCACGGTTATTTCAGATTAATAATTTTCTAAAGCTGCAAACTAAGTAAAATACAGATATTCTTTTTTTTTTTCTCCAAAATAACTACATACAATTTACAAGGTTAGGATCTGTGAAGGGTGACTGGAAGCTGACTCTGAACAATGCTGACAAAAATCGGTAAAGTTAATATACTAAAATCATTACTACCTCATAGGGTATTCATTCAGGTATACAAAGCACACTTTGTAAGCATTTAAATGTTTTGATAAGAGTAGAGATTCATCATTGTTTATCGGGCAGTAATAAAACCAGATGAAACAAATATAAGATTCAAGTTGTTTACCAAATAAACTGTGTTATTGGCACATCTAATGTGTGGTAAAACATTATACACAGTACCTATACAGCTTCTAGCATTTTGGGGGTAATCTTCATTTACAATATCCATAAACAAAAGGCTTGCCACCTAACAAATTTTAATTTGTTTAGACTTTCAGAAACTGTGAAAGGCATGAACTGTTTATGTGTTACATGAGATCACTGTTTATATTGTTTATGAACGTGCAGGTATAGCTGAAAACTTAGACATTTTAAGAAAATTAAAAATGCTGCTTTTCTGTAATTTTATTGTTGCTTCATGCAATACTGTTTAACTGCTGCTGATTCAGATTGCTTTCTATGGGAAGGTATCTCTGCCAGTTTCTTTATTAACGGTCAAGATCAATTCTTCTGTACTGAAATTTTCCATAGACAGATACAAGTCAGTCATGTTGGAACTGAGACTCCGTATAGGCTCTCGTATTCCTACTGGTATGCATGTCTGGATTCATATGCAATCTAGGTTATTCCTGCAGAAAAGAGAATTGAGTTAATTATTTGAAGCAACTACTCTCTTACAAAAGATATTCTGTAACTTTGTTCATGTAAGAAAAGCTATTTGAAAATGGCATCATCCCAGTATGAGCAACTTGGACCAAATCCAAAGTCCACTGATGCCAGTGGAAAGAATTAGCGACATCAATAGACTTTTAAGCAAGCCACATTGAGCTGTCTCTGAAACAATTAGCAGAATACCACAAGAATCACAGCTACTCACTCCTTAGTGACTGGTTCCATCTTCCAAATAAATAACTGACACTGAAATTCAGTTTTCTTTAGGGTCTGTATATCCAAAAGCAGAAGAGCCAAAGAGCTTCAAAAGGTGCTGTGCATTATACTCTGTTACTTACACCAAGTGCTAAGGAATACATATTGTTTTAAGAATAAAATGCTGCTATTGATTCCAACAAATCTGACAAGCAGCGTTTTCTCCCCCTTCTGCATACAGCATTCAAAGCAATTTGTGCAGTGGTGCTGGCATTAACAGCTTTTGCATAGCAGGTTAGTATGCATGGCATGTTTCTGCACAGAGAAGAAATATAGGAATATTAAGATGTCTGTTTATCCAGCCACTATTGGAGAGCATGCCTTTACTGAAAAAAAGCTTGACACAAGAAAAGCTGCATTATCATCTCATCCTGATAAACAATGCTGCTTTAAAACATAAAGTGTTCTTTCAAATACAAGAAAGCCAAGACACCCAAATACTGACAAACTAATTCACTGCGTTTAACAGCAAGTTGGACTATATCTTTGCAAGTTGGGAATTAAAGCATAACTTGTAACATATCTGCAAGGGACATTTAAAAAGCAGCTGTAGGTTTTTTCCTTGGCATTTTTAAACCAAAATGCACACCTTTAAGAACAAATTATTTTTGTTCTTAAATGATACGAAAGCAGATGATTTTTTATTACTTCAGAATTAGAAAATTAGACTATAACAAAGCATGGACAATGAGGACTTTTCAGAGAGCCAACGAAAGCAAATGAGTAGTTCTCTTTCTCCAGCTGGCACCGTTAAATGAAGACAGATGATTAGAGCTGAACGTGGTTTACTTTCAAATACCAGAACTGATAACCAACGCAAATGCAAGTGGAAAATGCCACTGAGAGAAAGCGAAGAGTTACAGGTGAAATATGGTAGGAGAACAACATTTGCAACATGCCAGCCCAGTAAATGCCTAGGAAAATCATCTAATCTTCTTACCTCTGGTCAATCCTCCCCATCTTCTGGTGTGATTTCTGTCTCTTTATGTACCACTACTTTGGTCACTGACATGTCAGGGTGCTGCTCTTTGGCTTCTTTAATTGCCTGAGCCAGCGCCTATCCCAAGGAAACCACAGAAGGGCAAAAACAAAAAGGAGGTGGAACATGCATGATCAGTAGCAAGGTGGAGAGATTCATGAGATATTACACAATTTACAAATGGGGAAAATGATTAAAATATGAAATATACCATCAATGATTTAACTACTAATCCAGTTTAATTTAAGGCATGCCAGTATGAACAGTATCTGTCAAAGCAGTATTTAGAAATGTTCTCTTTGGCAGTCTTCATGGTAGCTTTTTTAGCAGTTTATAAATTTTACCTGATCATGATCAATATCTGCATCTCCTGTGATGACTATTCTTTTTTCAATTCTTGTCTCTGAGATGCCTCCTTTCACAGTCTAGATGGGAGGGATAAATGCACGTCAGTAACTTTGGAGTGCTGCTACTCATCCAGAGAATGATCAGGGCAGGAACCCAGACATGACTGGACTGAACTGGTTCAAACAGCACATGCAGAAGGGGCAACCCAGAACTGCACCCTATGCGGCTCTGAAGTCAGCTTGCTCTCAATGGATTAATGACCTCCCAAGGTCCTTCCAACACAGATTATTTTATGATTCTAGTCAATCTGCACATATATCAGGAGAGATGTTTGTATGTCAAAAATGGTAGGTATTCATAGTAAATTTGTCCCATGAAGAACAGAATGGGAATACAGACACTCCATACAATACAGGGTGGTATGGCCTTTGTATAGCTCATCTACTAAAGGGTTAGTAGCATTAGAAACTTCACTGCAGAAAGATGAAATCCTGTCCCCAGTGAATATTGGTAGGAGAGCTATCAGAGCACTAAGAGAGTTTCTGCTTAGGGAGGAACTGTTACTTAGATGCTGTCTTGGAACTTGGAAGACCCGACATCTTTTGTCTTTGCAGCTATGAGCTTTCAGTCTGGCTGTTGGAGAGTTCCCCGGGGTACTACCCAGAAACACAGCCATGGTGTCTGAGCTGACTGAATGTCCTGTTATGATTACATGGTACAGATTTACTATGTGCTTTCAACACAGTGCACGGGCAACAGCTCAGGAATGAAAGGCAGTATAGTCATGTCAGTGGAGCCTCATGTTCAGGTGAATTATTCCTTCCAGGCTACCAAATGATGCCAATGTGATTATACTGCTTCCAGTTCCAGATAGTATTTGCAGGTAAATCAAGTGTCTCTGCACAACAAGGTTTTGTGTTTGCAAAGACATACGCTAAATGTTCATGACTTTCAGGACTCTGGTCAAGTTTTTGGGTGATGAGTTAATCAAGTCAGTATAGCCAAAGACAGGTAAACGAAGACAGGTACCCAAAGCATACAAGATTTTGCCTAGAGAGCATAAGCATGGGTCCACAATTTGAAATAAATCACGGAACTGAGCTTAAGAAAGCATGCACCCTGGTGAAAAAAGAGCTCCCTGTTTTCTGAGGACTTACTTTGGTGATATGTGTAGTAGTTGTAGTGCTGGTGGTTTCAGATGTGATAGTCTGTGCACTCATCAATACACCTGGTTCGGAGTCAGCACCGGAATCCACCTAGGAACCAGAAGAGAAAACCAGTCATCAAAAAAAGTGCTTCTGAGCACAGGGAGACAAGAACTGGACTGTTAAACTTCCCTGTTTCTACAGTTCTTCATAAAGTGAGCATCTAATGGTAGGGAGATAACTGCTATTAGGGTGATCATGTGTCAGTATTTTTCTGTCCACATCTGGAGGCTCCCCTTCACTTCTGGAAGGACAGATGAGGAGCTGGCGTTTTTAAATCTGTAGTTTTATCTAGAAAGGCCCTACACCAGAACATGAGAGTCACCCTCAGGTAAGTTATTCTGATGTACATCCTCCTCATGCCAATATTTAATACTTGAACAATTTAGAACAATTTACACTAAGGCATACACTTAAAAATGGGTAAAGAAACATGAGTTCCTTAAGGGCATATTAAATTAGACAGTGTCTTTTGCAGAATATCTTACCTGAGAAGACTCATAAGTAATGGTTTTTGTTTCTGTATGGACTACTGGCACTTCTTTTGTTGAAATTTCAAGGTTTTCCCCACCAGGAACACTGCTGAAACTGATAGTCTCAGTCTTCACAACTGGTGACTGTGTGAACAAAAAACAAGGAATTGGAATATGGATTTCTCAGAAGGATTTTTTTTTTTTTGCTTGGGGAAAAGAAAGAACAACTAAAAAGTGCTCTGCATTTAACAAAAAAAAAAGGAGAAAATTATCTTCATTACAGTGGTACCTACATGTATATAATGCTGGCAACACTTCACTCTTCCCTGGACTTCATGAAAACAAAGTTCAAAAACATTCTAAAAACTACAAGAGGCAATGGTCGCAACCTGAAAAATAGGAGATTCCCTCTGAACATCAGGAGACACCTTTTCACTGTGAGGGTGGCCGAGCACTGCCACAGGTTGCCCAGGGAGGTTGTGGAGACTCCTTCTTGGAGATGTCCAGAAGAAGCTTTCTGGACATGGTCCTGGGCAGCAACTGACTCTGGGTGTCCCTGCTTGAGCAGCAGGGTTGGAGCAGATGAGCTCCAGAAGGCCCTGCCACCCTCAACTGTTCTGGGATTCTGTGATTCTGTGTTTTCTTAACATGACGAGAGAATGAACCCTGTTCAGGGTTAGTCTTCTGCCTTCTTTGGAAAAAACCCCTCTGCAAACCAGCACTTGAAATTCTGCTAATGGGTCTAAGGTAAGGAACCTGGGTTAAGACACTGTACACTTGTTCATAATTGTACCAAGAGTGGAAAAAAAAATAAATCTATTTCCTGTCTTTGAGGACATATGAACTTTGCCAATCTGGACAGACTTTCCCAAAGACAATGCCAGCTGATCTTGTTATCTGTTGCATAACATGCCACGAAATTCAGTATTTCTCTGTAGCATGAAAAGCACTTTTACATAAAACATGCATGGCGTTTTGCTAATGATGGAAAGCAGCAACAAGCCTTGCACATGCCATGCAAGGAGGAAATAAGAGGAGAAACAAACTGCATGCTTCAAAGATGCAATCATACAAACTTGGCACACTTTACTTTCCATGACAGGAATTAACTCAGTCCACCATTGCCTATGTTCACAATTCAGCACAGGTGTGAGTGATTTAATAACAAGTTACCTCAAAATGAGATTTTCTTTCCAAAGACTCTGAAAGTTGGACTGTTGTTCTGTGCTCCTCTGCTTGCTCACATGAAGCAGTGGCAGTGACTCCTTCCTGTTTGGTTAGGGCTTTCTCAGCCTCCTCCCTTTTTTCCTCCTTCGCCCCCTCAGTCCCAGAAGAGCCCTCCTTCCCTTTCACGCCAGCAGCCACTGCGGATGCTGCCTCAGCCTGGGCATCCAGCGCAAGTCCAACCACTTTAGCAGGATCCCCGCCTGCATGCACCTCCATCCCATGTCTCTCCTTGACAACTACAGTCTCCTGTACAACCTTCTTCACTGTATCCTGATGTGGTTGAACTGCTTGCTTCATGTCACTGGAAGTTATCTCCTGAGATGTCGTTGTGTCTATTCTCTGCAGGGAAGGAGGAAAAGAACACTCAGCATCAGAAGGAGACAACACTATTTGCCGTAGCTCCTCAGCTTAATGTACTGTGAACATAAACTAAAAAATGGGTATTATATTTTGCCAATTTATTTCTCTCATGTTGCACGGATTTGTTCTCAGGATGTTATCAGTACAGTAGAAATGCAAAACAAAGCAAGAATCACAACTTTTAAAAGTGAAATGTCAATGTCAGTGTTTTTCTCATTGGTATTTTTGTGGGAGTTTTATAAAGGCAAAATACAATACCCTGCACAATGACCAAAATAAAGTGAAATGAGAGGAAACCTGGTTTGTTTTTTTTTTTCATTTTTCAGTGAAGTTTCTGTTGTGATTTCTTGTAACAAAGGAAAAGGCACATGAATACATGCATTACTTATATAGCTCCAAATTGTGCAAAAAACCAGGAAACAACAGAAAAGCAAAAGTAATTGTTGTGCAGTTATAACACTGATGGAGGGAATCAAACGGCCACCTGAGCCCAGCTATGGGAAGTTGAAGTAACCCCTCCTATGAACTCAGTCGGTTTTCTGGCAGACTCTATTAGAGTGAAGATATCTGAACCATCCAAGGTTTTTTCACTGGTGGACTGTTTAGTCTAAATAGACAAAGAAATGTAGAGTCATACACAGAAGAAAGGCAGACCCACATGAACAGACATATTAATTGCCAAAACTGAAGGCAGAGACAGAGGAAAAGGAGAGAAGGTTGCAGGGGCACAGAGAAGTTGGAAACGGGAAAAGAATGGGAAAATAAATCAGAGCGAATTCATAATGGCTGTAGTAAGCAACAGTTTAAAAGCATAGTTGTTAGCATTGGCATTTTGCTGGTTCAAGCAAATCTTTTTTTTTTTCCTTTTATTAACAAGCCACAGCAGCAATAGTACATTTCAGTAACACGGATCTTTAAATAAACCAGAAAGGTTGAAAGCCTTATATAATGTCTGTTTCAGACTGTGGAACAGATTCAAAGTATGAGAGAAAAAAAATAAGCTGGGTTGGCTGCTGTCAACACAAAGCCAGGCAGCAAGAGAACCAAAAGGTAGGGCGGTGTGAGGGGATTGCCTAAAAGAAGTCATGCTTTTATCTTTAAATCGTGGCATGAAGTCAAAGCCACTTGTTACCACCACTCTTGATGCAGACGACTCAGTAACATAGTGAGCAGTAGCAATGGTAAATGGTTGTTCTCTGGAATATCTCCACTCAGACAGGCTCTTATCTGTCCAGGCAAACGCCCCTGCTTTTACAGCTTCACTGCCAAGATGCTTCTCTGCTTTGCCAAGCTGTAAGCTTCCCAGTGTACCATGTAATTGCAAATCCTGGTCCATCTTTAGTGTCTTTTTCAAACTCTCCTCTTCAGGACTTTGCAACTGAGATTCTGCTTCCTTTATGGGTGTCAGAGAGTCGGACAGCTTTCTTTTTGTGCTCTGCATGTCGGATCCCCGCCTGGCTTTCTCATCAGTGACGGGCTTGAGAATTTCATACTTGGTCACTATTGGAATGATTTTCACAGATTCTTGCACTTCCCTTTCCATTTTTTGTGAAGTTTCTACTGAAGTTTGTACTGCTTTCTCGCCCTCTTTAGCTTTACTTGTCATGGTTACAATTTTCCCAGACATGGTATCATAGGACTTTCCTAGAGTGAACATTTTCTGCTTATTCTCCTCATTGGATTGTATTTCGCTTTCCAAGTCCTCAAAGCTCTGCATTAGAACGGTACTGGATTTTAACATCTCAGGTGGAAAGGCAGTTTTACCGCTCACAGTCACTACCTTGTATGCCAGATTTTTTTCCGATTCACCATCAACTACCTCAGAGGGTATTTTGTCTATAATAACCCAATCCTCAGTGCCCTATATTTGAGATATAAAAGCTAAATTAGAATATCTGAAGGTTTATCTGTACTTCAGGAACACTAAAGTATGAAGACTTCTAAGAAATCAATGCTGCCTCTTCTGAAAGCACATAACAACTTTTACCATTGTAGTTCTTAAAGCAGTTATCAAACAAACAAGCAGAATCACCTTAGGCATATGATTTCTTTGCCTATTGTCTCTCCTCAGAGGCCCATATAACGTGGACACAAAAAATATTTTTGCCACACTATGTTTGTATTCGTTTTAAGTGGTATAGCATTTCAGGGCATGTTTTAAAATGATGATTGGACTCATCCTGGGGTTAAAAATCACATATCACAGAGGTTCATAATGTTACCGTAAAAGAAAAAAAAAATTACACAAATAGGGCAAATAAGCCCATTCAACTGTTCCCCGGTTGTCACAAACACACTGTTGATGAGGTTTTATAATAGTATGCATTTGTACGTAGCTGTAGCCTGCACTGAATTTCCTTGTTTTCATTAGAATAACTTCAACCCTCTTCAGGATTGTCTAAATGGAGCAGTACCACACAGTTAACTGTGTAAACTAAACATACTACTAAAGATTCTGAATGGAACTTAATTGCAGCATCTTTTTCCCTCCTCATGCAAATATGCTATGTGATTTTCTTTGACTATGCAATCAGCACCCAGCTATTTGACCTTAAGACCATAATTTCTGTATTTAACTAAACAAATGAGGTAGTTTAAAATCGAATGAATTAAAAATAACCTCTAGGGATGATGGGATACTTTTCTGGATAATGATTTGATGAGAAGTAACCAAAGTGCCAGCAGATTCTCCTTCCTGCAGCTTCTTCTCTATCACACTTGGCTAATAGAAAAACCAATAAAAATACAAAGTTCACCATCACTCGGCATAATCTAGATTCACTTGATAATATAAAGGAAATTCATTCTAGTGACAGAAGTGCCCCATTCACCATAACGTTCTCAGTGAGGTTTATGCTGGAAATGCATGCACAACCACAAACAACATCCACAAACAGCACTGTGCAAGTAGATTTCTAACTAGCAGAGAAATCAGTCTCCATTAGGAAGACATAAGCTCTGGAGGGGACTCATTCTTCAGAATTTTGTCCCCTGATTACATCTCCATCTGCAACTTGTGAAATAATAATAATAAAAAAACATATTAAAAAGGGAGGGCTTGGAACGGAAAAAAAAAAATAAAATAATAAATAATTGCCATCCTATTTGACTGCATTTCAAGAAAGTATTGTTTGTTTTTACCTGCATTTCAAGGAATGTAGTACCTCCCTTCTGCAAAAATATGAGTTTTTCTGATTTTTCTCTTTCTTCTTTGGTCTAATGTCAGGGGAATAAATTATTTTAGTAAGCGGAGGGTATAAAGTCCACTATACAGTAGCTCATCATATTTCTCTACACTAAATATTATTAACTGAATGGTAAATTAGGAAACAGAATTAAAGAGAATCATTTTACAGTAAAGAGGTTTCCAATAAGAAGTGAAATCAGTGCCTCTCTGTGGTGAATGCAAAGTCGTCACAAGCAAACCACTTGTGTAGTACAAAACCCACTAAAATGAGTAACACCTCGGTATGGATGCACTGTGTTCCTTTCATCTCATATTGTTCATTTAACAGTGACTGATGCTGAGAACAGGCCCCTCCACCTTCACCCTCGATGAGGCTCTCTTCTGAGTTTGCAGCCCTTCCTGCTGAAGCAGGCACAAGGTGTGCCCTGCAAAGATTGCAGCACTCCCTGCTGGTATAAGAGGCCTCAAGAGTCCTCCTCCTACACAGGAAGCTAACCATTGCTCTATTATCACTATAACGAGACACTGAACTCCTCCTCAGTTTTTTATCCCATCAGTGCCTTCTCAGTGCTGTGAGAGTAGTATCTCTGCAACTTGACCAACTGGGAAAATGTTAAATGTTGGTAAGACTCCAATTCCTAAGCCTTTTGAGCCACCTTCTCAGCCAGCCACTGTTGCCATTTGGCCAGAGAAAGCAAGTCTCTACAGAACAAAATAGGTTTCTTGCTAAACCCTTTCTAGGCACTTCAGTGGCTATGTGATTTTCTTTGACTATGCAAGCAGCACCCAGCTATTTGACCTTGCACTTAGCCACTCCAGTGGCTAGTGCACTTAATAGACATGCCAGTGGAAGTGTTATGACTGGCATGACAAAAGCCTATACTCAAGAAGAAAGGCAAAAATTTAAAGAAAGATGTGAAACTAGAAAGAGGAAGGAGTAAAAGCTCATCTCCCCGACTGCGATGAGATGCATAAAAGTGTTGGCTTGATCCAATCCAGGTCAGATTAAACATTGTCAAGGAGTTTGGTAATATGTTTGCTTTCATGTTCTGCAGCTATCGGCCACCATCATGGCAGATATTTAAAACTGTATTTTTCATAACTAAAGAAGAACGAAGTATTTTCTCTACTATTGTAACAAACCAGGTGGGTTTGCACATTTTGAAAAGGCATATTTTCCCTTCTGTTCTTGGTTTTTTTTTAAATGAAAGAGCTACAGGTAACAATACACTGAATACAATTTTAAAGTGGATCTGCTAAATTAAATGTGTAACTTCTTTTACTAGCAGAAGGCACTACCTAATGCAGTTCTATATGCTCTCTGCCCTGACTGCCTCTGCATTTTTTGGTAAATATCAAGGTGCTAAATTTGACCTATGGATGACTTCATTTTTTTCCTGAAAAATTCCTCTCTCAGCAGGACATGTGAATTGAAACCACCCTGCTAAGTGGGACCAAAAAGGATGGCCACATGTTACCTACAGCAGGGGCCCCTTTTTTCCAGAAGTCACCTCAGAGTTAGTCTCTGATAGCTCAAATCCTCTCTCGATTTTCCACAGAAATGCCTTCATTTGGGTGAGGTTCTGTGAAATAGCTGTAGATTAGTTAGATACATTGCTTTTGAGCAAGTCATTTTCCACTAGTAAGATAAGAGATACCAGATAAGGATAATTCTTGCCCTTTTCCTTTCCAAAAGAATGGTTAAATTAGGATGTGTTTCCTCAGGGTGAAGCCTACATAACTGTGTAAGCCTTTGCTATTGCTTGTGTGTTTTAATTAAAAATTGTTATTACATTTCTAAAGTAATAAAGACATTAAACTAACAGGGTGGTGCTATTTTAAGTTTGCTTCCTCTGCAATCTGATTCAGGCTCAGCTAGCTACCTGCTCCCTTTTCATCCACTCCTTACATCTTTAATATGTTAAATGCATCCTGTCCATTATATTTATAATTTTATTTTACAGTTTTCTTTCGTGAAAGAAAACCCGTATTTTCAACTACAAGCGAACTAATCTGTTCTAGGGTCTATTATGATTCCTGAACAAGACGGTAGGAACAACACTACGACTCCTCTGTGCTCCCCACAAAAGGGAAGCTCTGGGTATTGAGTCCGCTTTTTTAGGTATTTTAATTCAACTTGATGGCCACACCAGTGCATGTCTGATGCCTGTATCAGCCACTGGTTAGATGGGTATGATGTGGGAGAGGAGGAGGAGACAGCCTTTTTCTTGGCAATATCCCTTTCCCTAAGCGGAGAAGCCAACACGTGCTACCTGCGTGCCTCCACAGATTCCCTTCCCCAGAGAGTTGTGGGACTGCAACACCAACCTCTGAGGCTGAAAAGCAGAACAGCCTTTCCAGCCAATTTTTGCTGAGTTCCTTACAACATTACATCAGTGCTGTGGGCACAGAAGCAAATTGCACATCTTTGCAAAATGCAAAGACCACTTGCATTATTGGTCTGTAATGCTAAAACCAAGAGGTAACCATAAAGATGATTTCTGTGAGGCAGAAACCAGATATCCATCCACAATAGAATAAAAAAAAATGAACTTTCATGCAAACCACACGAGCTTATTTCTTTTTGCTCCACTGGATTTTAACCAAGATGCTGTCTTTTTTTTTGAAGATCTATGTATTTTACTGCAACATGAATGTTGCTACCCCTACATGTCATTATCTACCCACAAATTAAGTAAATGCCAGCTTTTAAATTCACAAGTTTCTTACAAACACTTCAAAGACCGCACAGTAATCAGGATTTTTTCACACATGCACACTGCATAGAAATGCAGACACTTAGCAATCTGCATTGGGTCTTCAATGGAACAGTATCCAGCAGACTGCAGCGACCCTTATGGAACTGGCCAAAGTGGTCTAATTATCATCATTATTTCTTCCCTGTCTTCAAAGACTGAGAGAGTTCTGCCCTTTGCTCTGTATTTTCTTGTCAAGCCTGGCACCATACCCCCATCTGTCTCACTACACTGCTTCTCCCAGTCAGTCACCATTATTTAAATTTTCTCTCCATCACTTTCACAGTTTCTTTCATGCATGGTTGGACTTCCTCAAGCTCACCGAAACTGTAACGACAGCTCAGAGAGACCCAATTCTGCCACACAGCTTATAGTGAATTTCATTCTCTAAATACATATATATTCTTATATATATACTATATATATTTTTATATATGTTGATAGTATCTGCTCTTCCTTGCATCTTCCTTGCATCTAGAGCTTCAGTCCTGAGGAAAGGGGATGCCTACAAGCAGGGAATAGCTTCTAACTATGGCCTCTAATCTACTGAGGGCTGCTATAAGTAAAAATGAATAGACAAATACACAATGAATCCTTTCAGCTCATGCTGACCTCTTCAGGCACTAGTGGTTCAATCATAGGAGCATCCTCCTGCCTTGCTGCAAGCCGAACGGGAGATGTGGAAAGCCTCTTCTCCCACTCATTAGACACAGTCGTTTCTGTGGAGGTTTCCAAGAAGGTGCGTTTCAACTCGCTTATATTGGTCTGATGTTTCATCAGATCTTCCTGGGTTTTGTCTAGGTCCTGGACAGTTTTAAAAGAATAGAGCAGTTTGTGATACATCCTAAGCCAACCAAATTTTAGAGCCAAAACACACAACTTGGTTAGTATAGAGGGAAGTAACAGCTCAGGGAGCCAGGGAGCACAGCACTAACACAACACTCTGTGAAAATGTGGCATTTTGAAAGATAACAGCATAGCATATCTCGTACAAGTGAGTATAAATACACTCTTAGAGAGCTTATCCGTATCGCTATAATTTGCACCTGATCAGGAGGCTTCAAACAAACATACATATGCGCGTGGAGGCACACACATATACGCACACGCATATATCTGTATTTATAGTACAAGTTAGAGGAGTCATCATAATCTGAGAAAAAAAATAATCTATTAGGAGGTGGGAGTACACAGTTCATGCATCATAGTGCAGATCCACAGTTTACCACTAAAACTAACACACATGTACGTACATGCACTGGTATATACCAATACCAACCTCTAACATAAGATTACTATGTTTGACATACACATTTTCACCCTGTATTCGCTTAATCAGACTATTCTGAAAGAAGTGAAAAAGAAAGGGAAAGGTAAGGGACACAGTATTGAAAGGATACAAAATGCTGTTTCTACACATTTCTTCACAGAGAACCGACAGTAACATGCTGAAAGAGGTGAACACCTCCACATTGATACCTGAGCAACATCTAGGCCTTTCGTTTCTGTACCTGTGCCTTTAGATCTCCGTCCTCCTCTTGATCCGACTGCCAGCATGAGAAAGATTGGAAAACAACACCTTACCCACTCATATCAATTAAGGCTTTATGGACATTGGTGAGAGGTACATACTGGGTTAAAATCCCATTTTCTCTACAATAAGGGCTTAAGGAGGAGTAGACGCACTGGCTTTGCACAGTTTTTCTAACTCAGAGGAAACCTCCTCTTCTCAAATTTGTTATTTGTTAACAAAGCGGTATAAACCCCTTTCCTTTTATAAAAATTGCTACACTCCACATCCATAGATCTCTATTTATGGAGCAGCGGCTGCACCTTCTCACCAAGGTCATGGCTGGACTAGTACTGAAAGGCAACAGCAGATTCTTTGGAATTCCGTAAACCCAGAGTTTACACATATGGTATCATCTGGGCAACACGCAAAGCTTTGCATAAACTCGCCATGGGCAAACAACCCGCAACACTTTCTACAGAAGGAAGCACATTTTATTTGCTTGAAATGCTATTTTCCTAAGCTCAGCCCCTTCCTGTATTTCTATAATTTTATTTCATATTTAGCCTGTATATAATCTTTCAGGAGATAGGTCTGCAGGGGTGGTCATCTGGAATGACACAGACATCCCATCCCCTTCAGTGCATGTTTTCTAAAGTAATGCCATAAGGACTGCCCCAGCAACCCGGTTTCTGAGGGTGCAATTTTCAGGTGGCAAATATACCACACATTTTGAAAATCAGGTATCTGTAAGGAAAACTGAGGTTTGTTATATATTCTCCTCTAAAATAAAGATGGCAGCTACAGAGATTAACATACATTTTTAAGTAATAAAATGAACATTTTAAATGTCACAATTTTATGATTACATTTTACTTTCTGGAGGGTTCAAGGCCTGAAGCTATGGAGTGCAAGAGGCACTTCAAAGGATTTTGTACTCCTGACTCGTCTCAACAGAGTTTATGTTGTTGCCCTGTTTGAATTCTTTTAATGCCTGTGCTGATATTTTATCATCAATTTTTCATATAGTCCTAATTAGTCAAATGACTCACGGGAAAATCTGTTGATTACTTTATAACTCAGTTAAAATCTATTCTATTTACAGCCAAGGTTGAATTGTCCTGATATGTCATAAAAAAAATTTTTCCTTGACAATAATTTTAGCAGTCTCAAATATTAATGAGATCCTTCTGAAAACCTACAGTAGTGTTTGTGGTAAGACTCTGTCTTCTAGCAGATGTCAGACCAAATTCAGCTCATGTTTGCAACTGCAACCATATTAATTATGAAAGCATTATATGCACTTCAGTGAAGTCACATAGGGTTGAATTTGTCTGCGCAGTCTATGCACTGTGTTGTGGATAGGAGGCTTCCCAGTGCAAGGAAAATATAAACATTTTATGTTCCTCCTCTGAAGACAATACCTAGACTAGTGGTGTCAATATGTGAAGATGCCATGTGAAATTAAATTCAAGGAAAAACTTAGGTATTTATAATGTGGAAATACCCTTATTCATAAATTTGAAAATTGCTTTTAACTGTTTTTTCCCCACTCTCTCACTCAGGCGGCAGAGTGTAAGCGCAAACAAACAAACAAAAAACCCCAGGGAATGATCTGACCAGCACGACCATCCAGGTGGGGCGCACCAGTGTGTGTGACACTGCCACTGCCCCACTATCCGCACAACGTGGAGGCCTTGCAGTTTCCAAACTAAACTCAGAAATAAGAGGAACCCGTAGGGAGCACTGAAAACTCAACTGCCCCAGCAAAGCTGTCCCACTCGCAGGCACACACATGCACACACGCGCAGAAAGGGGTCCTGAGCTGCCGGAACAGACATGCGGTTTAGCCCCGATGCCCAGGGTTGGGAAGAGACAAGGAAAAACGCTCTCCCCTGCCATAGCTGGGTGCCGGCGACTGTACAAACCTCAGTGGCAGTGGTCTCACCATCAGCCGCAGTATCCGTCTGCTCACTGTCAGTCTATTTGGTTAGACAAGTAACCGGGTCCCAAGAGGAAGGCAGGAATAAAGAATAAACCCAGCTCATCAGTACACGCGGCTCACACGGGGAACTGTTAAACTCAACATCCCTGTGAACTGCATTAGCATTGCTTTTCAAACAACGCACAAGTCAAAGAAGCAAAATAAAAATGCTATATTAGTAAACAGAACAGACTCAGAGGAAGACTCGAGGCGTACTGTACACAGTATATGGCTTTACTGGAACAAATTTATAAGCCATACAAAACATTACTGGAAAAGTGTTACTTGAATAGCAGATTTTTTTTTTCCTTAAGGAAGCCAGGTAGCTTTAAAAAAAAATGGGGGAAAAAAGCAGCTAATATTTTCTAAACAATCTTTTTCTCCCAATAACTTTTTAAAATAAAATTATTTAACAAATTTTTGTTCTAGCCAATATAAAGTGGTGGTTAAATTTTTATCCAGAGGGGGAAAAGATAATTAAAAAAAAAAAAAAAGGCTACTTTAACAGTCACCTGACTTTCAGCCCCTCATTTGTACAGAAGATTTTCTTGTCTCCACATTTATACACCATGAGGCTGTCTGCATTACCAAAGAGTTCAAATAACTATACCCCCAGCCCATCTACTGTCTGTCTGTGGAGTAGTGGTAAGGCTCAGATCCCACTCGGTTCCAACAAAGAGCAGCTGATAATTGTTAATAATAGTAAAAAGAAAGAAAACTGCCACTAAAAGAATAAAAAATACTTCTCATTTAATTTAAGAATATGGATGAAAGCAGGAGAAAAACAAAAGTAACTCCCCCCACCCCCCAAAACAATTACTAGGTATGAGTGATAAAGATGAAACAAAGCACAGCATTGCACAGACTGATCTATCCCTGCTTTGCTTGACACCATAAAGAACATTTTAATGGAGAACGTAAGTGTCAAGATTTAATAGAGAGTGGAGTGCAGGTTATTACAGGCTGAGAAGAGAGTTCAAAAGATACTTTGCTGTTATCTAAGCATATGGAAAACTAGTAAGTAAAGTCCTCCCTGTTGCTCCAGACTGGCACATCCAAGTTGTTTTGATATCAGCGAGATCTCTGGGTTTGATTAGTGATTTTCTGTGGTCCTTAGATAATCTAAAGTAACCCAGGCAGGTAATTTAAAGCCAGGACAACACATCTCATCCTCAAATCTCATCAGTACGGACAAGAAAAAACCCATAACCTACTGGTGGATGGAGTATCAGTCTTAGCTTTGAATTTCCTCCAATCTTCTGTCATTTTCTGACAACTCCAATGTTTCATAAAACTGTTTTTTTTGATATTTTTTTCATTGCTTTCTTTTCTCTTATTCTTTCTTTTGAATAGTTTGTATTGTTTGTCTGACAGGCAGAAGAATAAAGAAACATTTTGCACTGTTTGATAAGTGCATGAATGCAAGTTACATGCAATTTTTCAAGCAATAACCACTTGTGAGACAGATTGCATCCATTTTTAAATGAAACTGTACTGTCAAAATAGTCTATTAGGCTAGTCCAATTGCTTTCACTAAAGTTAGAAAATTGTTTCTTTATTACTGAAGGATCTCATAACTTTATAACATTATAAGCAATTGTAAAGGTACGGCAATAGAAAAGAAAATCTATGCATTGTCACTCCTATTTACAAAGAAAAAAAAAAGAGGAATTAATGAATCTAGACATTTAAAAAGAATTAAAATATTTGTGTCAAGACACAGTAAGACAAGGCTGGTACATAAGGTTCATTTAAGAACTTGAAGTCAATAGAAATATTGGCTGCTAAGGTACAAACATGGAAGCTAATGAATTCTAAGGGGTGAGATTTTGTCTTTGATTGCACAGACTGAATCCAGATGCATTGCTCAAGGGACAACAAGCTCAACAATGTATGAGATTGGCTCAGGATACTGGCCTTAGCCTTCTGCATCTCTGTGTCCAGTCATTTGTGAACTGAAGGGGAAAAAAGAGGTTCCTATTTCTTTTACCATAAGAGCAATGAAATCCTAAATAAAGCATAAAATTTGCTTTATTGCAACATACATGTCTGCTAATAAGCCAATCGACAGCCATGGAGTTGAAGTCAGCATTGCTGAGTTACTTGAAATAAAGATTTGGGGTTATCAAAAAGCAGGGAATGGTGAATTAAGGCTGAGCAAGGCAGGCCTCCAGAGCGGAGAATAAGAAAGGTCAGGCTCAGCTCCAAGATGGGCTGTAGTACAGCTGCTGGTGGGGCTGCTGGACAGGCAAGGGATGGAATAGGACAGAAGGCAGCTATCTCCTGAGACGCTGCGCCTGCACCTCCCCTAACTTGCGATCATAATTGCTGTGATTTGTTTTGCCAATGTAATGCAGACATGCCTGAGTTTAAAACATATTCACTTTCATGCAATATTTTGAACAAGAAATACCCCGTGGATTAGGCACAAGTCTGTGTTGTCTGCCAGGAAGCACTGTCAGAGTAATCACCCTCAGAAAAGAGTGACACTAAAAAAGCCTATTTTATATTTTTTTATGCTCAATACTTCCTAACTTTACTAACAAAAAGAAGCGCTCATTTCTGAAAGAGGAACAGACCAATGTATTACATAAATACTGCCTCATTACTGCCTCTGGAGCTGGCACTATATTAATGCTGTTACTGCTATTAGATTAATCCAAGTGCAGAACTAATGTAAATTGAGACCTAAATGCTGTCTCAAAATGAGGACACAAAATGAGACAGCAGTGTTTTGGATGCCTTTTATCAGAAACTGCACATTATTTTTTAATTGTCAGGCATCACAGAGCCAAAAGCATCCAAACCCAATGTTTTCACAAGACAAATTGATGCAACTTTTGGCTTTCTATAAAAAGGAAATTAAATCCTGCACCCAATCTTACAAAACCAATAGTGGTAGATGACACAAATGTTTAGATGTGCAATCTGATTTATTGAAGACAACTACTGCAATGGCATTGACAAATGGCCAAGGCGGTTTTTTTACAAGCGGCCAACTGGTCTATCGTTATCTGATCTGGGGCTTTTTTCTTTACATACAAAGCAAAACTGTACTTTTGTACTTGAAGACAAAGAGGAAAAAAGAAAATTGAGTAAAAAATGAACTCATTATTTTATTCTGTCAACAAAGAATAACCAGGCACCAGCAAAAACTGAGATGCCATCTACTTTGTTACTTAAGCAGATTCTTTTCCTACTTCTGGATATATCATCACATCCACTGTTCCCAGAACTACTGCAGACTCCTACTGCAACTGGTTTATCTGCCCGTGATGACCCTGGTGGCTTGAGGCATCGGTTTTGGCAGTGCTAATCTAACATTGCAAATGTCAAGACAGCCCACATGGCACGCTCCCCAAACAGCTGCAGAACAGCTGTCCCAATCTGACCTCTCACTGATACACTGGATTTAACCATGGGAAAACAATTTAATATGCAGCAGAGATGGGATCAAGGCTGAAAATCGAGATCCAGGTTTTGCTGGACCAGAAAGTCTTTTCTGCAGTTGGGCTACAGCTGACAGCCTTTTGCAAAAGGCTGAATCCATCTGGATTTTGAATATGCTGAAGTTGGTGAGGGTGCTCTTTATTGTTGGGTAGCTAGTTGTATAAATAAATGTAGATAAATATGCATATATATGCATGCTTCAGTAATTACGCAGAAAATGATACTTAATATGCACTATTTAGATAACTATTCTAACCCTAGAATAAATTGATAGAGGGAAGAAAAAGGTCTGGGTTGGTTCAGATACAAAACTCCAGAGCTGATGTGTGACAATTTATTTAGTGCAAGTCACTTTACACCAGCTCACACAGTTCAAACCAAGCCACTTCCACACAGTGTTGTGCCTAACCCTGGGCCCCAAGCTGCACTCCCAGCATGAGAAAAAAAATAAAAAAAAGAAGAAAAAATAAACAACAACCCCCAAACCAAAAAAAACCCCTTCTAACATATCAGCACAGACAGAAATGAGGCTCTGAAAGTAGGACCACTATTGCAGCAATCTAACACTGGTTAGGACTGAAGCACTGAACACGAAAAAGAGTGTGTTCGATGCCGAGGTACACACCTCTTCCTCTGAACTGTCACTCAGGTCATTGGCAAGTGAGGCACTCAAGGAGGCCGCCTTGGGCTCCAGGTAGCAGAGGCACATAGCCAGAGGAAAGGAGAGAGTGAGGGCGTATGGCACTGAGAAAGAGGCAGAGAGCAGAAAGAAAAAAATGAAGAGGAAACAAGGCACGAGGGAGGGGGAGCGGATGGGGAGGTAATGCTGCACGCTGGCAGGCAGGAAGTTGGTTTCGGAGAGGTTAGGGAGTGACAGGTAGCCATCATCATCCAGAAGGGAAGGAAATGACTCTGGAAGTTGCAAGGAGAAGGAAAACAGCGTTCTGCCCTTGCCAGCTTTTTGCTTGTAGCCGAAAGCCATGTCTTGCTCGGCGGAGCAAACTCGCCCCTTTCTGTCAGAGTCTGGCTCCGACTCGCTGTGTTCTGGAGCGCTCTCTTTGGGCGCCTCACAGCCTAAGGACTTTGTCCGAGCTCTCTCCTTGCATCTCCTGCGAAGCTTTGCTGAAGATACATGGGGGCCAGGTTGAGAGGATGGCGAGGGGTGGTGGGAGTCAGTGCCAAGCACAGATGTCTGGTGACAGAGAAAGAGCAGCAAACAAGGCGCAAAAGCAAAAGGACAAAAAGAAAACTGTAATTAGTTAATTTTCTTCCGTGATGATAAATAATATATATTATATATATAAAATTATAAACAGTATTTTAATACCACAGCTTTCCACTGAATTAAACGGTGCATGTTCCTATGCCACACGCTACAGGTATTAGTGATTTGAGATTCCAGCTTACAAAAGGCAACTTCTTGATTCAACGTTTGCCTAGTCCTCTCTGCAGCACAGGATTTACTTAAAGGCCTCCACGGCTACGTGTGGAATTCTGGGTTCTGCCAATTTCCACTTACTGTAACACTGGCTTCTGATCATAAGGAGTTTTCAACATGAAGTACATGGAGAGCAACAAAGAAAGAAGGGAACGTATTTCTAACACCAACACTGCTTGTGACCAAAGTTTCCCATCTATGTCTTGGACAACCTCAGCAGTAATAATTAAAACTCCAAGAATTCTGAAACTCTACATGCCCAAATTCCTCCACTGCAATATTAAAAAAAAAAACTGAAACACATTCTGGTTTGGGAGGGGGGTATAAAAATCCATATGTTAACTGCTACTGATGGAAGAAAAACTCACTTAATACCCACCCTAGCAGCCAGGTCCTCAGCACAGCCCTCACCGCCACTCAGGCTGGCCTCTCCTGGGCATCCCCACAGCCCTGCCCTCAACCCCTGCCCACTGTGAGCGGGAGCAGGCACAACTGGGAACTCACCCCCTCCCAGCCATGCACCCTGTCATCCCTCCATGCTGCACGCCACCGGTGGCACATCGAAAGAAGGGAGCTGAGGTGTGTGGCTAGGCGGGCCCCGTGTTCTCTCACTGGGGATCTGAAGGGGGGCTGACCAGAGAGAGGTCTGTGCCCCACACAGCCACATCTCCTCATAGTCAAAATGTGACCCTCTACCTACAGGGAAGAGATAAAAATGCACCCAATGCTTTTGCTACAAATTTTATCCCAATGCAAAGAACACTGGCTACCAACGAGCAGGAGTTACTTTGGTATGCCACTTGTAGGGTATTCAAACGGTCTTTCAGGTCATTTGAGGACAAAAAATTGGTAGGAGAAGGGAGGTGATTCAGCAGGAATGGTGACTGTCATTTCACAAGCTCCCTGTGGGCAGCCACAACTGCTTTTTAGAAGGACAACAACCACTATTATCACCAAAATGCATATCCCAGTACAACACATCTGACACAATGCTGATGGATTTGAGATATTTTGGCCAAAGTCCACCAGGTGCACTTAGCTGAAGTGGCACACTGGCTCCATGACCAAACCCTAAGTGCCTGAGCTGCTCCATCCACAGTGCATCTCCCCAAGGAGCTATAAAAGCCATTTCAACTGCACTGCCACTCCAGACTCCCCAAAGCAAAATGTCTTCAAAGCCAAAACAGTATTTGCCTCTTTAAGATGGTGTCAAATTGGAGGCAACAAGGAGGGATCCAAGTTTTAGACAGAGGCTGTATCAATGCTAGCTACTAAACCCAATCTTTACCAGGTATATTAATGGTAGAAATGGGATTTAAACCAAGTAATTACACGGTAGAACTCCTTTCCCTCCTCTTAATATTTTGCATCTCTCTCTTCTCTAATAATCCATCAGTTCAGGTAATCTGTATGCTCAACTTAAGCAATCAAAACCAAGTCTAGCTTCAAACTGCTTACAGGTGTCTTTATGTGTTTAATGCAGTAAGCTCAAGTCAAAATTTAATGCCTTATGTGAGCTAAATACACAGAACTTCTCTTTATATTCTAAAGGCAAAAAAAGCCAAAGTAAATGTATTCTTTGCTAATACAGACTATTCACTTACTGACATCTTCGCAGTGTTAATATTTAGAATAACTTCTGGTACTTAAACACACATGGATAAAACAAAGGCAAAATGTCTTAATGGAAAAGTTGAAAACCTACCTATACAATTCATATACCCTTACACAGGAATTTGATTTCAAGCTTATTTTGTGTTTCTTGAAGCCCTATTCTCTTTATGATGAACGACAAAGCTGTTGGCAGGTCGGTGTGGAAGCAGGACTAAGATCTCTATAGGCTTACAGAACTGAAGCTCTATTAATGGCTGGTTTAAACAGAACCCACCTCTTGAGTGGGGTGTAAAAATTAATAACTTCTGCATAATTAAGTTCCATCAAAACAGTCTCTTAAAACACCTCTGACTATTTCTAGCTATATAAGGATTGACTGAAATTTACAAACATTTGGAACAGAACTAGCTTCTATTGGATGTTTTCCGCATATTTGATTTTCATCAATCTTTCCCCATGCAGAAACTAATAGAGTTCCAAGAAGACCCCAGCTAAATTTTGTAGAGATTATCTTTTTAATGCTGCAATTACAGCATACACTTTCAAAAGAAAATCTTTTCTCATTTGCAATTTTCAGTAATTCAATTTGTTTCTGATTTTTGGTACTGCAATTGCAACTCTTTTTGAGGACTTGATCCTTTACTTATGTAACTCATTGTGGCCTTATATGGTAAAGCTAGAAGTTCAGATTTTAACATTTGCATGCGTGGGTATAAAGGTTTTCCTTCCTAAATGATGAGGGTAAACCTTATTTGTTTAGCAAGTGCATTACACAGTACACTTTTTGAACGTGATTGTACTGTATTTCTCTTCACTGTCAATCTCTAGTGACTGTTTTCTCTGTCCTCCTGTTTGATGTATCCCATATTAAAAACTGATTAGATATTATGCACAACCATGTGCGTATGCGTATGTGGTGGTGGTGGGATTGGAGATGATGACCTGTGACTCAAGTTTAACAACTAAGAAGAGAACCATCAACGAAAACTGCTTTCTTCAATACAAAACTTCAAACGAGGGAAGCAAATGCTTTTGTAAGCCAGGAAAAGAAAGCTTATAACAGCAGATTAATACCCAGAACTTAATAGAGAAAAAAATGCCCATTGAAATTCATGCAAGGAAACAGAGTGCTATGGCAAGTATAAGAGAAAAATACAATAGTTTAAAGCACAGAGCTACATACAAGAATGCAGAACTGTTTTGTTGCCTTGTCAAAATATAAAAAACATTATGGCCATACTAAAGTCAAAATACAGTGGAAGACCAAAGGAGCAAACATGCACTGCCAGGTTACTTTTGGGAGCTCTTGAATACTATGTAAAAAACACCGGGTTGACTGTTAAACAGATTTTAAAAAGCAGTCCAAGGCAGGAACTAATTTTTACAACATCCTATGAAAACTGAAAGGACTACAGAAACACTGATTTAAGACATATATACATAGTATATTTCTTTTCACGGAACTTGTTTTATCTCCTCCCTCCCTCCCTAAAAATTCTGTGTTTCTCCAAGCCCTCTCCAGGCAGCTCTGTTGAATACAAAACCCTGAAAACTCTACCTTGGTGTCATGACGTATTGCTGAAATTGGGGTGACTTCCTCTGCTCTCTTCTTTTTGCCCTCTTCATCATCTTTCTCCTCTTCTGTCTTTTTCTCTGGAGTCACAGTGGTTATCAAGTTGGTCTGAGAGATGCCCTTTGTTGTGGCGTACTGGCCAGTACCAACCTCTGCAGCAGACACAGAATCCTTCATGTACATTTCATGGTTTTCATTCACTGATGCTAAAAGCAAATATTTAAAGAGGGAAAGTCTGAAATAGCTTTTGCTGAGAAGCTGCATAAAATTAAAAAAGCTGGTTTAGAAAAACATTTGAGATAACGCTGAAAACACAAATATGTCATGTTTCAGAAAACCAGAAGCATTTAAATAAATCATTTACTTGAAATAAAGCTCGTAGCTTTTATATGCATAAACAGATTTTATGGATGTGTATACACACATTACTGTAGCTAATGTGTGCATTACACAGTTGTTAAATGTTAGCAAGCCATTTAAAGTACTACTGTAGTAAAACACTAGAAAAAAATTCAATGCATTGCCACAGTTATCAGGCAGGAAACATAAGGAGAATCGGCTATGACATCAGCCATGGGGGTGGAAGAGATGTTTTTTTTAAATCTGCCAGAATATAACAATGCAGATCAAATGCACAGTTAGTAAGGTGCTGCATTATAGAAAATGACAATATTCATGTAACACAGGCATAATACCTGAGAAAAAATGAAATGTGATCCTTGTATTACTGAGTACTAAAGTCTGCCAGTTAGGTGAGCTCATTATCCTAAAAAATTCTGAGAAGCGATATCATTCAATTCAGTGGACCAAACCAGAATATTTCAGGATGCAAGTCTTCAACAATTCAGTAAACTTAGATATATATAAATAATTTTGAAATAAATGTACATTTATACATGGAATGTAATAAAAACTTCAACAGACCCTGCTCTTGAATATTGTGTAACTAATTTCTAAACCAATAAGACTATTCAAATTTATGAAGTTCCTTGCATCTGTAACAAATGACAGCCTGGATCACAGTATAATCACAGTGCAGAAGGCGACAGCCACATCTGCATCATAGTAACAATGCTGGTAAAGAAACCGTAAGCATTGATTAAAAAAACACCTCTTTCCCCCATTTGCAGGTAGGCAAATTAACATCACAAAATCCCTGCAGAGTCTAACAAATGCTGGGAAAAGCATTTCAGGTATCTTGTCTCTTGGGAATGCGCTTAGGAGGTGGGAGAAAGCAAAGGGAGTAGAGGGAGACATCTTGCTTAGATGTTACAAACAAAATAACGCAGAAGGATAATTTCTGCTTTGAAACACATGCACAGCAATCAGGTCACCAGTTGCTTGGTAACGAGCAAGAAGCGCATCAGTATTAGAAGATTCCAAAATAATTAATGACAAGCAGCACCTTTAGGGGGAGAGAAAAAGGTTTGTCACTTGTACTTTTAAATCAAAGCTTCTCTCCCTCCCCACCACCAACTATACTCATTGCAATTTGTGATATTCTGCAGGAGAATTCACCTTTTTTTTCAATCTGTAATGATTCTGAATTTAGTCTTGGTCTTTTTTCTAAAAAAATAAGTTGCAAAACTACAACCTCTTTTTACTCAACAGCTGATAACAGTAACAGCTGATGGAAGTAGCTGATACTCTGAATCACATGTTGATTTAACCTAAGCAAGCAGCAGAACCTTGACCTGCACAAACCAAGGATAAAGAGAGAAAGGACATGCTTTTAAGCTGCGTGTGTTACTCTGTCTCATACCTTCAAAAGTAATGTACACAAATGTCTTTCAGAGCTCATCCGACTAGGACATGAGGTAATTGGAAGCAAGTGTTATTACTCAAGAGAAATAATTAATTTCTGAATTGTATCAAGCTTAAGTCAAAACCTCCATAGGGAAAAAAGATAGATTCAACCAAAACCCAAAGAGTCACTCATGCAAACCCAGAAAAAGTGTTGATGCCTGAATTTCTTGGGCAGACAGGTCCAGTCATCCTGTTGCTCCCCAAAGCAGGGAAATGGTCTACAGGTGTGAGACGAAGGAGAGAAGCTCTGTGATGAGTTGGCTCCCAAGGACATCCTCTAGGGAAACACTTTGTAAGGACTACAGCAGTACATTTAGCATGGAATTTCTCTGCATCCTCCCCTACCCCTGCACTGAACGCGCAGGTACTCACAGCCTCTACTCAGCTGAAGCTCAAGGAGATGATACGACAAGAGGTTCATATTTAACCTAGAGCAGTGACCACTGTAACAATAGCTTTTGACAAAGTCAGCTGAGAGGACCTTACCACCATCTAGGCTGCGAGACATGGTGTAACGTTTACTAGAAGACCGCTCAAAGTAAGGTGCAGGACGGTCTATGAGGGCACTGGCTCTTCTCGTCTGGGCCTGCGTCCGACCGCTGTAGCGAAACTTGGAGCCCAGCGTAAGGAACTTCTTTGGAGGCGCTTCAGGCAGCAGGAGCCTAAAACACACCAAGCAGTACACCTGTTACTCCCCCTCCTCCAAAATCAGTCCACTCTTTCTGCAGAGAGAAGACGACTGCTGGGTATCACTCTCCATCGTAACCTGTGCCTCACCGGTCTGCAGCTAAAAGGGAATCAAAGGATTGCCCCTCATACAGCATCACAAAACCATTTAGCTAATGCATTTGAAGATTTGAGTTCTTCCTAATAGTCAAGAATCACTCAGCTCCTTCCTGCTTGAAAATCAGATTTATTATCTTCTAATCACCCAAACTAAATACAAGGTGTTCCTTGTACCAGGAACCCTCATTGTGCTGAAATACTTTTACTTCAAATTTAACATGGTGCTGCTATGCTGAGGATAGGGCCAGAAAAGATTTCCAGTGAATGCCAGGCAGTACTCATTCACAGGGTTGCAGACATTTTTCAGGTTAGAGCTCTCCCACCCTCTGTATTTTGGCCACGGGAACTGGTTGAAGAAGCCATTCTCCTGCTACGGAGTTTATGCTTCAGACATTGATTTTTCATTAAAAAGCAGAAAATACACCAAAAATGCACACCATATCTCTTTAGATCTTTTGCTGCTAAGACTGCATTTCATACGAACATACAGACAAGCCTGAACCAACAGTTTTAGGAAAGGAGAGAAATTCTTCAGTCCTCCCAAACATCCGCCAGAGGGGGTTTTTAAGCACCAAACACCCTTTCAAGTTGTTGAAAATCTCACTCTTTTGGGTTTCCTTTGTTAAGTATCTCTGATGACTATCTTAGCACAAACTGATTACAGCATTTATTCCACTATCCCAAACTTTTCTTGGGTCTTCTCAGAAGTCAAAAAATAGCTGCAAAATTCCACAGTAATCCGAAAATTACAGCTATGGATTGGGTTTTTTAGGTGACTAAAAATTAAACTACCTACTACTGTCTGTACTTTCATATGTAATTAAATAAAAATATCCTTTTTCTTTTTAGATTCTTACCCACATCCCCCAGCAATCTTCCATGTAAGTTGTTCTCCCTATGCAAGTTTATGTGCAGAAGAGCAGCAGTCCTTCATCCTTTTAATTATAGTCGCTGATAATACCACGGCACAGATAAAGCAAAATGATTAATTAGGACCATATGGTGATTTTTAAGCAGTATCTTTCTAAAATAGTATGAATAATTTGGGAGAAACATTTCAAATTTTGAAGAAGCAACAACCTTCCCTTGTCTGCTTAGAGGTACCTCATGATCAAAAAGACAATTTGATTCAAAAGGTTTTGTCTCTGCTGACAAAATTGATCTTTTCTGTTGCGTTTTATATCACACCTTTAGGAAAAGAAATCAACATACCTGAAAAATGTATGGTGTTCAACACACACTTTCCATAAGCGCTTTGCAGCACGATGATTTGGCAACTTAAACCCAATAGTGCTTTCAAACTGCTCAAACTAGGTAGGAAAAAAGAATAAGTACGTTTTTGATGCTGTGCATCTATTTTTAGACAGTGTACACAGGTTCATCTTCATTTCCTCTGTCTGTATCATCTCATTGCAAGGGTGAACATATATGCTCATGTATATAACCACATATATTCTACAGATTACTGTCTGGGAAAAAAGCTGAGTGATAATAAATGGCAACTTTTGCGGATCATTTTTGTGGGAAAACACTGGTAATGAGCAGGAGGTTTTTTATAGTGACAGTGATGTCTTATACCCCACACTAACAAAGAGATCAGTTAAGACTTGGAAGACTTCTGAGAAAAACATCACTAAGTTTTTTAACCCTGTTGATTTAATTTCACCAGTTTAAACTACAGTGGGAAGCCTGGTAATATCTGAAGGGGAGCAATAGTCCCTAGGGACTGATTTGGTCTCACATAGCCTTAGACTAAGGAGATTTATAGTGAAAGAACTACAGTTAGTAAATCACAGTGGTTATAGCTAATTTATCTGCTGAGGAGGATGAGGCAAAGACAGGTAACTGAAAAGAGTTGTCTGGGGATACTAAGACACCTTTTTAGATTGTGCTGCAAATTTATATATTTCAGATGCAGAAGCTGTTCCAGCTACAACTACTGTAACATGATGATGGCTACATGCAGATAGCTGAGTAGGTGAAACAGAGTTGCTGTGATGGTGGAAAGGTAGGCAGAAGGGCGCTTGTAAGGAAGCCTGGTTCCCTATGGAAGCTGATAGAGAAACAAGGCAGGAAACAGCAAAATAATAAAGATGACACATGGCATGGTGAATCACATTATCATCAAATGTAATTTGGAAAGAGGCTGCATTGATTATTTTATATATGGAACTATGACCTGGTCACAGGATACTGTATACTAAGGCCAGCAGAGCATTGGTGGTGGAGAACTTCAGTGCAGGTGCTGGGAACATCAGTGGCTGTTCATTTGTTTTTTTTTTTAAATCAGACTCAAGACTGGGAATTTGGTTACTAAAACTGTGTCTGCTGATAGGCAGGAGATGTAGTTTTGTGGATGTTAGTTTAGGACTCTAAAAGAGGCTGAGGTTCAGGGGCGGGGGACCTCAGCAGATTTCCCAGGTCAATGATGAATCATTGGCTCAGGACCCGTCTGCCACGCTGCATTAAGGGATAAATGCCAGCCTTCATCTAGGTGATTTCTGTCCTGGTATACAGCCCCACACTCTAAACGGATATGGGGTTTTCATCTATCACAGATCAATTATTGTACCAGCATTTAAAATGGAAATACTCCTTCACCTGTAATGATCCTGAATTTCTCCTGGGATTTTTCCTAAAAGTAATCATCTTATAGGCCAGGCTGGATGGCGCTTTGAACAACCTGGTCTAGTGGAAGGTGTCCCTGCCCACGGCAGGGTGGTTGGAACTAGATGATCGTTAAGGTCCCTTCCAACCCAAACCATTCCATGATCCTATGATTTCTGGGTGAGCGCATGCTCGGCCCGTGAGGTCGGTATTTGCTACGCATCCGGCTGAGCCACGAGAGGGCACTCGCTGTACGAGGTTTCACATCCCCTTCTCCAGAGCCAGAAGACAGGCTCCGGTGGGCCTGGGAGGGCTAATGTGTTGAGGTTACCAAAAATGCTGAATGACGGATGCTTGACACTGTTTTACCAGTCTCTGGATCTCTGCCCCCACTCTAAGCGTACTAGTCTGATATGTTTATAAAGTTTGGTATGGCCTGTCTACATCTTTTGGTAAGATAAATAGATGCCAATTTAATATACAACATGACAGAGGATAACAAGCTCTCCATGAATAAGAAAGATGTTACTTAAATTCCCAAAGTATTCATAACAGGGATGAGCTTTTTACGTGCAGATGGCCATATTTATTCTTTATGTTAGTTCATGGATGTAAACATAAAAATACCAAAGAAGTTTTTTTTAACCAGTATTTTAAAGAAAGTATGTACCTTATCTTTCCTAAGAAAATCAGCATAAATTAAAAAAATATAAATGGATAGGAATGCTCAAGGCTTGTAAGACATGAAAAATCAACAAATCAATGAGAACTCAGTTCTTTTCAAGAGGTTCATTCACTAAAGAGTATCAGGATGACCTTACCTCCCCTGGTCGGATTTTTATGTAGAAGTTGTTCCTCTTGTAGGAAATTTTCAGAACCTTTGGCCAGGCAAATCTATTTATTCTGAGTCTGTCTCGATATATTAAAAGTCCACTTGCACAGACTCCTAGCATGATTTCCACTCCTTCGGAATCCTGGAAAAGCAAGCAATGCACTTTGTTGAGTATTCCTATCCTTGCATCCTACAGCACTACAGATTCCTGTGTCCTGTGTTTCTATCTGAGCTATGTCTTTTTAATGCATCAGCTGTAGTGACCTGATTTCTGAGTGCTACCCTACTCACTGAATGCATTCATGCAAGTAATAGTAAGGTTGGGCAGGGTGAAACAAATTGAGGGCTGCCAATGTTTCCTTATATTTTAGAAAGACTCCAAAAACAGGAGGGAAATTTTGGATGTTATTAAAAGAATTGTGTCAGCCATATATCAAAATTTTATTAGCATAATAAAAAAGGGTTATTAGCATAAATACCAGATTGAAAGTAAGTAGGACAGCATAAAAATTTACGTCTCCTGGTATCACTCATCTCCATGACTAAATCTGGTAAATCCCTAGAAAGGATTTTCCTCTGTAGTTTGCTCATCTTGGCTTTAGTAGGTTTGCTAGTTTCTTTAGCACTGTTGTGTGTATGCTCAATAATTTCACTTTGAAATGCCCAGTGGGCAGAAAGTTGGGCATTTGGACCAGAAAAGATTCTTTTTTAGAAGTGTGGGGCTGTGCCTATGCTATAACCTACATTTGACAGGGAAGATGTAGATCAAACACATTAGTACTACAGAAGATTTGTCCAGAATCTTATTAGAATATACCCATAAATATGTATTTTTAAAATAAGAAATATACATTTCTCTTTCCTTTAGAACTCTTCAAATAGTGTAAACCAAATCTTCACTGGTTTCTATTACTATTGTTTTTATTTAGCTAAGTACTAGTAGTGCTGGAGAAAACAAAAATCCACCTTAAAGCACTGACTGCACTAAAGCACTTGAGGAATTATTTTAAAACAACTTAAAGTCACAAAAACCTGACAGCAGAAGCTATGAAGATGTCAGTCTATGATAATCATGAAATGAATTCATAATTTTCATCTGGTTTTCCCAACCAGCCATCTTTTAAGCACAGGATGAAAATCTGATTACATTTTAAAATGAACACAAAGGTACACATGGTCAGTCATGATGAAAAGATTATGGCACAGCTTGAAATAATAATAGAAAAAAAAAAAGTTTAAAAATCACAACATAGAAATAGTGCCACAAAGTCACTCCAGTGTTAGAGAATACACCAACAGAGGATAAGTGTTCCAACAATGATAGTATCATAACCTAAAACCAGATTTTTTCTAAATAAAGCTCTTGTGTGATATTACTGTCAAGTACTGCAGAAGAGACAAAGCTAATTTTTTTCAGTACTTTGGTTTCAGTTTCCTAAGCAAAGAGTAACGCCAAAATACAGTGACCAGATTCTAAAAAAGAAAGTCTCATTGCCAGTAATCCCACTGCCTGGTGAATGCCAGAAATGCCTATGTGCCCATACATGGCACATAGCTGCAGGTGCAAGGGGTTCCTTCTTTTGATACGCTTTCTCAAAAACTTTTTGAGAATTGCCTTCCTCCCTTTTCTCCACCTTCACCACGGATCTACATCTGTTCAAGCCTTCTCTTACTTGTAGGTGTCAGAGACTGGTTTTCAATGTGATACTACAGGTAAAATGAAACTGAGTAAAAGAATTTGTTTTTTTTTTCAAGAGAGATGTGGTTACATGGAACAGAAAACTGTTAGCTGTGACATCTGAGGCATGAAATGCTGAGCTGCACATCCCTGCAGCTCCGCATACAAACTGGGGGCTACCTCAGAATGGTGTTAGTCCAGAGGATAAATCTGTCTATTTTAACATATTTTTTATCGCAGTCTTGCACTGGATAACTGAGAACTAGTTTTAACAGCAGCTGGTGAGTCCAGCATCTGTCTAACACCTAATATATTGGCACAGCCTTAATGAATTGACATTTAAATGAAGACATTTGCCACAGCATGACTTCCAAAAGGCATCCACAGAGATGCTTGTCCCCTAGCCTGACACCACCAGATCTCGCTGGCACACCTAATTAAAACTAAACATGACTTCTCATGCAGTCTACCTTTTCCACCTCCAGCTCAGTTTCCAGGATTACTGTTGGATTTCCAGACACAATTTGGTTACCACTGTAGCTTTTTTAAATTAAGAGAATCACTTTAGAGAGAGATTGGCTTGTCTACCAACTTCTCTTGCTCTGAGTCTTTCCATTTGAAAAAAAAAAAAAAAGAATAGGAAACCAGGATACTAGGGGTTTTTTTTCAGAAAAGAATAAATAAAATGGTTATCTCAGAATATCCTATCTTAAACTTCACAGCCTTTCTCCAATATTCTGTAAATAATACTTAATGCTATGTTATGTTATTTTCAGTAACAAAGCCTGAACAGGAAATATTTAGAACAGAAATCCACTTTGTTGTTGGTTTATGGGTATCTTTGTATTGGAAAAAAGCTAACAAGTGACATTTGCCTATCCATTTCTCTCTGCTCTGAGTGTGCCTCAAGATTTTGTGCCTATCTGCAAGACACAGGGAGGGCAGTAGACTGCTGCCCATTGAGCTGTACTCAGATTTTTCGTTTTCATTGAAGGCAATAAACAGAACACAAAAGATTGCCTTGAATTCTCTAACATACATGCACAGCTTCTATGAAATGCCCCAGGGACACAGTTGCAGGCTCTTTCAAGATCCAAGCTGCAAATTTATCTCAGTTCTTGAAAGGATCTGCTGCAGTGCAAAAACAGGCTCACAATAATTTGACCTTTACAGAAAATGCAGTGCTCTCCACAGGGCAGAATTCTTTGGTTCAATACTCATTTGCCAAGGATGCTTGCTAACCTCAAAAATGTTAAAATCCATTAGTCTTACTTTGAAGAGTGAAAAAAAAAAAAGTAATTATTTATTTGGGAAAAAAAAACAACCCAAACCCAAAAGTCAGACAACCAACACAAGGCTAGTAGCTGGCTCTCTCAAGCCACAATAAGAATGACCACGTTTTATTCATAACTTAACCTGCTGATGATCAGAGAATCTACTTGATCACGGGAGAATGTTTCCAGAAGAATTACTGCCCTTCCTGTCAACCGCGATGACCACACTTCAGAAGAGAGACAAGATGCTGTCTCCCCATTACCATCAATCTGATTAGGTTTCCAGCCCAGCTAAATAATTGTTTGTAAGTTCTCTGCAGCATTAGAAATTATCCGCTTATCTAGTTAAGATAACATAGTTGGCCTTATTAAATTGAAAAATGTAGCTGAATGAAATGACAACTGATCACTCTCTGGACAGCTTCTAATATCCTTCCTCATTACTACATCCATTCAATATTTTCCCCAAGGATTTGGTTGTTTAATCAACATGAAAGTTGACGTGCTTTGAATCTACAGGCTAAATTATGTTACAGTTACAAGATATATTTATGCTTATCCCATGAGTCACCTTTCCTCATGCTGACACATGATTTATCCCAAAAAAACTCCCATCTCAAAAATACAAGAAAGAATAAATCAGGGAGTCCATGCAGACTAAAGTACCATGCCACAGGAGAAACGTGACCCATGAAAGAACCGAAGTACCTACCTTGGCATGATGGAGATCTACTCCATACATTGATAGTTTTTTGGCATTCTCCAGGAAATGCATCTCAGCTTCTGCAGGTGTCATTCCCCTGAGGAAATGCAACCAGTTCTAGCATAAATGTTAAGGAAATAAATCCAAAACAAAATCCAGCAGCTGGAAAACATTTTCAGCCTGTCAGAAGTACAGCCATACCCCTTAGGCAGCTGGGTACCTACCAGAGCCAAAGATCTGATGCAGACCCTGTTAACTTTCACATTGCAAAGTTCTTCTCTATCCAAAGACACAGAGAGGAGTCTTATCCGAAAAATATTAAAGTATACCGCAGCAGATTTTAATATCTCCTGATGCACCAGGATGGTACCTGAAGAAGCAGGCTAGAGCTCACATTGCTGCCCTCTGCTTACCTGTGGCTCTTGTGCAGCTCAATCACTTTGTCCTCCAGCTCTTTAGTGTGATTCGGGGCAAAGCGAAATTCGCTGATGTAGTCGCTGCCGTATTCATCCGGGTCGTAGTCACCGAGCTCCGACTGCACAGTGTAAGAGCCCAGCAGGGCCAGTGTGACGAATGAGCAGGGCAGCCGACCCGACACAATGTCATCTCTCAGCTGCAAGCAGAGGTAGTACCTGCAACAGAGCACCAAGGCGGCTCAGACAGTGCTCCTCCACCTTTGCCCTCAGAGAAGCACCACTCGAGCACTGTCAAGAGGTCAGTTCTGCTAGTAGTTTGCAGACAGTTCCCGAGCCCATAGTTTTTCAGGTATTTACAAGGATAATAATAATTTTGTAAAGAAAAAAAAATCCCAAACAACCAAAAGAACTTCAAAACCAAAGCACCAAGCTTTTGCCTAATTTATCAGTAGCAACACCTAATTTACCGTTATACAGCAGCATGGTGATCTCTTAATAAAATAGGTTATTACTTTGTTTAGTGACATAAATGGAGAAATACCCATTAAACATACTAGATTTCTATCACAAATCACTAAGATATAAATCTACCCGATAATTCTTTTCTTTAAGAAAATAATTAAATTATAATTATATAAAAATATAATTATAATTAAATTTTTCTTTAAAAAATAATTAAAAACCTCATATACTGTTCATTAATGTGTAGCTGACCTCTAAGTCATTCAAAAAACATAAGCTGTCTCTTTAGCAAACTGTTGTGCTTTCTCAAAAATTCATTTAAACAGTAAATGCTGCTAAAAACACAGAGATAAGCAGTGCAAGGGATCACTAGATAGAGGAAAACAGAAAATAATGTGGAGAACACTGTTTTGGTGGCAAAGGCAGAGTTACCGGGGGAAATTTGAGAGTGACAAGAGGAAAAAAGCAATCCTTTCCTTTTGAAGTCCTCTGTTCAAATGTGAACTCTTGGCATACTATTTCTGCACAGTACCCACCACAGGGAACCTCTGATCTAGGCCAAAGGCTTTGTGCTGCCTTAAAAGCAACAAGCAAGTCCATAAAGCATTAAAGGTCAAACATATCCACAGGTTTCAAAACGTTGAAACAGGCTAGAGAACAATTAGCTGATGGCACAAAACTTCTCATGGCTCAAAGCTTTTGTGCCTTACACCAAGGAGGAAATCAGGTGAGGGTTCTTTTGGTTGCAGTTGCAATCTGAATACAAAAACAGAGAGCAGAGGTGTAGATTGCAGAGCTAAGCGACTTGGAGAGCAGGGAGCAGCCATTCATTACCATCGTATTCTCTATTCCGTGCACATCAATTGCTTACTTTGTCAAATGACACTCAAAATTTACATGCATGCTTATTCTTATCCATTCTGGTTTCAGCTGGGGTTTGGGATTCAGTATGGTGCTTAAACAACAGCATCATCTCACTTCTTTTCTTTCACAGATATGATTTTACTTACAATAATAACTCGTTACTACTGGCAAAAATGGGCATCAGGCATCTTTGTGAAAATTAAAATCAACTCCCAGGAATATGTGTATTGAAAAAGCTGGGGTTTAGAACTAAATTAAACAAAAGTTTTCATAGCTCCAAAGATAGACACTGTTCATACTGTCGTTTCTGCCAAAGCCTTGCATATTTTCCATAAGCTCATATGAGAAAGAAAGGCAATGGGAACATAAAACATTCCTTTTCTTGGATAATTACAGTGTAAGTGCTACTAGGAACAGCTTTTAAGCCCCTCCTAGAAAGGTATTTAATGTTTAAAATACCTGGTAATATCTTCAGATAGCTGGGCAGGATCCGGAGGGTAGAATTTCACATTAAATGCAAACTGCCAAGCACCACCTGGAAAAGAACACAGATTGACTGAAAGTACACTGTAAGTGCAAACAAAGATGCTCATGCTGACTTAAAAATATCCCAGCCAAGCAATTAATATGAACAGGATTTAGTATCTTTTTCCCACACTTCACACTGAAGACACTGTATTAGATCAGATTTTATAGCTCTTTTCTTATTTAGTAAGATTGCCACTGAAGCGAGGACTCTAAGGGAGCAGTAATTTATTACCAATATTAAAAAAACCCTCAGTCTGAAAACCAGGTTTATTGAAAATAACCGCCTGAAAACACAGCTTTAAAAAACAATAACCCAAATCAGAGGTACTGAAAACACCACAAGTCAAGAGTACGAATGGGCTCTGGGGCAGGGTTATGTGCCAAGGTCTAGCTGCCCAAACCAGCTCACAACATCCTCTCAGAGTGCTGCCTCAGCACATAGCTCCTTTCTTCAGCAGACATAAATTGTGCAGACAAAGCTGCAAGGACAAACACAGAAAGCATGACCGAAAAAAGTACGTAGCACTAGGGAATTCTTCTTGACTTATTTCAGTAAGTTTAGGTGGCCCACGTGATGGATACCGGTTTGTACCACCACAGTTGGTGAAATTATTTCTGGAGTGTTAGCTTTAAATGTTGTAAAGAAGGAATATCAAGATTTTAAAAAGAGTTGAACATGGTATGTAAATACAGAAGCTATTCTGAAAAAAGGGTCAGGTTACTCTAGTGCAAATAAAAAGCAATAACAAAACCCCAAACCACAAGCAACAAGGTGGTTTTACAGTAACAAGACATTTCACCAAGGCCTCTGTTCTGGGATATACCCCTCATATCTACTTCTACCACATAAATTACAGATGCAAAGTAACATCACTTCTCTATTCTGAAATGCACTGGTGTCAAAGGACAAATCTAACTAGAAATAAATATCCCTCTCAAAAAATCCATATTGGCCATGTAACAAGAAGTGCTCAGGAACACCGTGAAAATCAAGACTTTTCCTTATAAACCTGACAGAGGGTAGGGCTTTCCCACGATCTTCCATTCAGGGGCATGTTGTGCCTAGGTACCTCCTAAAGTGTATTGAAGGTTTGAAGGGGTTTGAAGGTATATCTGGTGCACTCTCTAGCAGGATAGCTGATATGCTGGACAGATCTACTCGCCCAGAAATACTGTATAGTTCTCCAAATTGGGTGTTTGGGAGTATTTATTTAGAGACAATAGGGAAATTTCATTCTATGCAAAACCCCATTCACTTTGATGATGCACACACCTGAGAAAATAGGCTCATATGTTCTAGGCCAGGTTGGATGGGGCATTGAGAAACCTGGTCTATGGCAGGGGTTCAAACTAAGATGATCCTTAAGGTCCCTTCCAACCCAAACCATTCTATGAGTGTGCAAGAAGAGTTTTGATGTTTATCATCAGGACTTCAGTTCTTTGTAAGACTTTTGGAGTCCTTGATTTTAGGCACTTTTCTGGTTTTTTGGGCCATAAAAGCTGGTAAAGGAAGATTTGGCTGGCAGCGAGGATGGGGCATGGTCCCACCTGGGAGTGGACCAGACCCAAGGTGGGAGTGCAGCCAGTGGGTGCCACCTGGTCCCACAACAGATGGAAGGGGCCCATAAACCTATTCCTTGGTACACATCAAATAAATCAAATCTATGATAAAGCCTATCATATAGTGCAGATGGTTAAGATACTACAGTAAGAGGCCTTCACCTCACACAGGATTTTAAATAAAACCTAACGTTGTGCAAGTTAGTGGGTGCAAATGAAGAGTCACACACATGGCCCTTTCTCACCACTGGGATGAAATCCCTGTGGTCTGCAGTGTGATACAAGTGGTGTACAACTCAACCAGGGTTTAGCAGGACTATATATATATATGTTTGGAAAGCATCATGGGTAACAGCACTACTTTTCACCATTGTCCTGTTCCAAAATTCTGGGGTGAATTGTACAAACAAATTATTGCTGTCATCTTCTGCAAATACAACTGTCCACTGCCTCAAGTACAGGACAAGACTCTTCTGCCCTGGTTAATCTCCCGCTGTCACAACCTTTCATTGTCTATTTCATGGCTTGGGAACATATTAAATGCATTTCAAATGTGTGGTGGGGAGCTGAGCTGCTTTACTTCTACTGAGCAGTAGCATAACCTGATTCATCAAGGTCTAAAGCACCTTCCTCTCCAGATACATCTTCTCGTGAGATTTAGAAAAGGCAAATTTTCATCACTTTGTATTGCAGATCACTTACCTGTAATGAAAATACTACTGGAGGAAAGGTGAGGTTGTTCATAGTAAGTGGGGAAATTTTCCAGTGTAAATTAACCTTTTGAATCTTGGAGAGGGAAAGGATTCACTTGCCAGGCCTGGTCCAACAAATGTGAACTACCAGATACATTTGCTTGTAAAAGCAAAAGTGTTAGAAGAAATAATTTACAACATGTGCAAAGAAAAAAAAAACAAAAACAAACAGCTGAGCTTTCCTGCACATAGAAATCACGTACATAAAATATGGTCAAGTTTTAAAAGTGAGGGAAAAAAAAAAAGGCAGGTCAAATTTTGAACCTAGCAGTTTCAACAAGGCTTTCCTTCGAGAGGTTTTTGAATTTCTAATGTAGCAGACATCTAGTTTTAACAACCAAGATTTTTAAAAGATTCATGTGAATCAGAAAATTGACTGTTTCTCTGTGAGTTGCATGGTCATTTTAGGAGCAAAGATCAAGCTTCTGAAATGCAGACAGGAAAGATATTTTAGGTAGAATGCTATCTTTGCATCAGTGAAATATGTCAGTACAAGGCATGAGTAGTGTTCCTGGATATGATATAAATATCAGTAACATAAGAAATAATTCATATACATGGCCTAGTCCCTAAGGTTACATTGCTTAATGTCAAACCTCGGGTTTTTGCATCTCTGCAAATGTCAAGTTGTTTTCAGCAATGCATGTTCATTTGTTACGAGCCTCAGTAACCACTCTCATTATGGGGTAAAATATCCAAAAGATGCAGGTAATTCTTTTGCCAAAGACTTGGGACTAGATAAAAAGATGCTTGTGAAATAAGCTTTTTTGCCACGGGGAGACATGTAAAAGGGGACAAGAATAACAAACTTACTTCGGATCTGCTTCTTGATTTCCTTGGCAGGGTCCAACCAATTCTGCAAAGAAAATGTTTCCTTTTTTCAATTTGAATTAGAAAACACAACAAACATTATTTTTAAAACAGTGCTATGAGTCGAAGCTAGAACACGCAAAGGTCTGCCACCCCTTTCTCCTTGGAGCAGCAGTAGGCTGGGATAACACTACCTTTCATGATGTGGCCCTGAGTAGAAGCAGGATTTTTATTAACCTTCCCAGACACTGAGGGGCTAAATGGTTTGAAATAAAAGAGTAAAAAAATAGAAACTGGTAAAGTGAATCCACAGAAATCTTTTTCCATAGTATCTTCTGGAAAAACTAAATTTCTAGAAGCTTGTTACAATTGGTTGCATGGTTAATTTTTTTTCTCTACTCCTGGAAAGGCTGAAAAGCCTTGCTAGATGATAAGCAAGTGCAGAGGAGGGCACTACCCCATTTGCAAACCAATGTGGGCATGAGGGGCTTTTCCAAGGAAACCAGAGGCAGAACCACAGCACCTTTGCCCCCATCCATACCATGCAAAGCCCAGTGACTATGCAAGATAAAAACCCTTCTGAGGAGATGGGGAATTATCACAGTGATGTGTTAGTACTCTGTGGACGCCAAGGAGCAGATGAAAATTCCTCTGGGTGAGGTACATAACAGCTCGGGGTCTCTTAGTGCCACTGCTGCCTTGACCTCTAACAGAATCAAATTAATATTTAAAATGCATAACAGCCCAGAACAAAAAGTTTGCTTCCCCTAGGAAAGTTTCACTTTCTCCAAAGAAAGATAAACAAATGTATCGGAGAAACAAAAAACCACTAAAGAAATATCAAACAAGCAGAACACAACAATCCCTCCCCAACAAAAACAACCAGTTTGCAGCTGTCCAAACCTGGTCTGTGGTGCAAAACATGAGCCTGAAGAACTCCAGCTATTGCTCAGGACAAAAGCACACTATGTACCACAAAATTAAAGATGCATCAGCATTTCTGTTTACAAAGATGTCATGTGATGTGGGCACATATGTCGTCTGGTTGGAAGTTATGTAGCAGAGGATGGAGGTGAATTGCTAAGTACTTTGACATTAAAAATATATGTTCTTGATCAATAAATGTGGTGGCAGTCACTTATTCTTTTAACTGTTTAGTTCTGTAAAGTAAATGGTAACCTACAAATGTTTAGTGCTTCTAAACCAAGTGTTAATAATAAAGCCATTCTTCTCTTTCCAGTACATGAAAGCACACCTATCTGGAAATGAACTTAGACATCTGCCTAACTTTTATAAAAACTCAAAACTAAGCATATATTAAAGTGTTATCTTGCACTGACATGGACCAAGTATCTGCTTAAGTGATTTTCTGAATCAGAAACAAAGAAGTCCATAAAGAAAGGGGGAAAGAGAGACAAAAAGACTGACTTTTTTTGTATCATATATAATTGAAACAAACGGAAGTCTAGAAAATACAACTGTCGCTCCCACAAGACACAAGCAGCTAAAAAAGTAGTAAGAGCTCCAGCTCCATCAGGAAGACCTTTCAGGCCACGTAAAGCAAAAACAGCTTCACCCGGTGAGCTCTGCTGGGCTACTGCATATATTGCTAAGAAGTTTTGCACTGTTTCAAAATATTTATCTTAAAATGCCAAAATCACACAGAATATTTTAAATTATCTTTGATACTCCCTCTTTCCCTGTAACAATATATATATATATCACCTGCACACTAGATAATCTTTGACACAGCTTATTTCATACTAAAGTTGAGATGCAGACAAGCAGAATGTGATTCGCTCTTGCTACCAACTGCTTCTGAAGACTAATGTCTTTAGTCAAAGCAACAATAATGCTAAGATAAAGAAAGTCAAGACTTGGAGCCTTATTTTATCTTAGCAGTTAGCAGGAGCAGTCAATCATCTCCTGCTTATCTGTGTCCCAACCACAGTATTATTAAGCCATATTTTAGTATCATATATTTAGCAGTGTATCTCTGAATGTCAATCTGACTTTCATCTATGGCAGTAAAGGAATAAATTATACTAGAAAGAGAACCAACTATATGATTAACTTCTTTCATGTCATAAACAGCCAAAACAGAGGGAAGCCAGGGAAACACAGGAGATGCTTTTATGAAGTAGAGTGAGTCACAAAAAACAATAGCTCAAACTACGTCTATGGAACCTGGCAAGGAAGATAAAACCAACTTCTGGATTGTTGTAACTGACTGGGGAGTCTCTCAGTGAGCTCTGGTGTTCGCAGGCCAAAGGTCAGCTGCAGCTCTGTGGGTTACCTTTTGGTTTTCTGTGTCTCTGTATGTTAGTCCAAAGTAGTCTTTTTCCAAAAGGTTCAGATGCTCACACACTTTGTCGAATAGCACTTGACCTCTGGAACGTTTCTGTAGGAAATTAACAGAAAACAAAACAAAAAATATTACATTTGCAAAATAACATAATTAAGCATTAAAATAGCACCTCTTCTGTCAAATCAATAACTTCAAAATCATTCAATTCAATGCATCAATCTTTCTAACCTATTGACCTGGAGCTTCATAGGAAGCTGCTGAATGGGGCAAATTCTTTTTCCCTAAAAGCTCAAGTCTTCTTGCAGAGTTAAAAGTAAGTCACACATGTCATGTTTCAAGTCTCAATAGAAGATCTCTCCTGTCTTTCAGAAACTGCAACTCCAAGGGCATGCTAAGGTCATATCTCTGCAAAACCAGAGCAATTCTTTGTGTGCAAACAGCAACAAACAGCAGCACAAAATATTCCTGCTCATGGATTATCAGAGCTGTGACTGCAGCGGGGTGCCAATCTACTGGAGATAAAACCAAACATGGAGATACTTTTTGCTTCGGTAACAACGTGGACTGATTCCAGGACTCATTTTTGTCTAATATACATGGAAATGTGATTGCACCATCTACTGAAATCATGGAAAGAGCCTAGTATCTAACTGGGAATGCAGCTGGGTAAGAAAGCAGCTTCCCATTGTCCCACTAACCCTCTTTACTGCTGACATGTTAGATGAGAAGATATCTGTCAACAGCCAGAGCCCTTAGCAGAAGCTTCGTAGTATCTCTCGTATTGGACAGTAAATATTCAGGTCATCCTAGTTCTCAGTGTTGTATGTGAAATTGAGAAAAAAAATATCTCCAAAAGACCAAACACAGACAGAAATGTCCTTTTTATAAGCTACATGTTCCAACTTTGATATGTATTAATTATGATGATCAATTCAAAATTATTTGGGACACTGTTTAATTACTGCTTACTTCTGTAAGTGCAACTCAGCTAAAGGAAAAAAATCTCCCCGCTTTATTCCAAACACACGCATACATAAATATTTTAGTTGATGTTAGCACAGTATTTTCTTTATCTGTAGCATACACATGACTTGAAGCAGACTGGAAATACACCACTTGCTTCAAAGGCAATGCAGGCGGTTGAAACAGAAGATGAGAGAATGCTGCCCCCAAATTTACGCGCCTCTGCTGACAGAGTTGCAGCCAGACTGCGTTACCAGCCCAGCAGTCTTGGCCGGGAGAGGACAGTTCACAATCCAAGCTGACACAGCTATGCCAACAAACCCATGGAGCCCAATGCTGGCCTCAAACTATTTTAGAAGTGGTAAGCAAGCCAAGAGAAAAAAAAAGAATTGAGGATTGCTGCCTAACACTCCGTGAAAACATTACAAGAGACAATGGAGGGAGTTGTGCAGCTTAATGTAATTTATGTTAAATTTGGTGTTCTGATGGTATATTGGAAAGGACACTGGGAAACATCCTTTACATTTTTATCAATGGGGAAGCTGATGCATGTGGCTGAGCCTAAAAAGTGTTCTCCAGCTGAGGAAAAAAAACAGGCCCAGAACTGCATTACGAGTGTATTGCTGTAGCTTCATTTACTGTGTCTTCCAGCATCATTTGAGCAAACAGCTTTACGGCCTTGTTCTACATGTCACATGCTTTCCACCCTGTAGTAGGAAGCATAAATATGCTCCAGCTCCTTTATAATGTCAAACAAATGTTTAGTTAATTCTTCACGCTCCAAACTTGGAAGTAGATAATAAGAGGTTGGTGGTTTTATACTTGATGCTCCATGTAGAACAGGAGGATAAAAAAGATCTCACTACTGCTGTGTGGAGAGCAATGAACTCAGAATCTTCCAGCCAGAATAGACACATTTCTGCTATAAGCAAGCAATGCTGCATTTTGCCAAATTTCCTGCTTCTTCACTTCTTAACAAACTAAGTACTCATACTGAAAGGAGAGAAATAAGCAGGTTAGCTCTAGAGGACACCACCTTTGAAAAATACTGTCTGCACCACTGCGCCATTTACATGTATTCAAATTGTGACACTTCAGTGCTCTCTTAATTTTAAGAGTCACTTAAGGCCAACACAGGAGCTGTTTTATCTGGCCAATCCGTGTAGCTACACAGATGTCTGCTTTGAGAAATACTAGCTAGCAGCTGTAAGGTATGGTGTTTTAACAGGGAACTGCAGGAAACAGTTGTGCAGGGCTGTGTCGTAATAAAAACCAACCAACCAGAAAACGCCCAGCGCTCGGGAGTTCTTGACTATGGCAATCCCGAATAATTTGCATGGCAATATATCCCCCTCCTCCTCTTTCTCCTATATGAAGATGCCCAAGCTGTATTCAGTCACTCAGTTCTGCAAAATTCCTGCTGCATCAGGATATAGGAAAACACTGCTGGTGCTGCAAGAGCATATCAGAAATACCACATGTAACTGAGAGCCTTCCTGGTTCTGGTGCTCTCTTCCCCATCACAAGGTAGGAACTAGTGATAGCTGAGAGAAAGCCTTACTAGGACCACTTCCCTTCCCACTATCCACAGAAACGCCCATCAGCATCCAGACAGATGAGCCTCTGACCGCTGTCCCAGGTCAGAGATGACCTGCAGGAGCAGGATTTAGACGACTCTGGTCATTTGAGGAGTAGGGTTTGCCTTGCAATGGAGCCACCCCTGCTGCTCTAATGAAAAAGCCAAAAGAAATCCTCATGCACCTGTATATTGGCAGCACTGCCACTTTGCACCCATGTGGTGTGAGCAGGCGCACACTGCTTCTAAACCATCATTGCACAGAAATACAGTGAAGGGAAGGTACTGCATAAATTCATGGGAAATTAAGAGGTTTAGTTAGGAATATATAATTAAAGAAACTGAACAGACCTCCTGTGCTCTTGCTAATTGCTTTTATTTTACTGTGTGCCCAAATAACCATGCCAAGAAAGACACGGGTATCATTGCTTTGGCAGGGACAGAGTGGAGGAGGAGAGAAAGGTCAGCTTACAAATTCATACAGCTCCTCAATCTATCCTAAACCTTTGCTTTCTATCATTTTGAAATGACAAGTCTAAGACGATGAAAGATTGACAGTCTGCTGGTTACTGTGGATCATAAGTTAATCCCAAAAACGCCAATCAATTCTCAGCAGTCAAAAAAAAAAAAAAGAAGACTTCGAGCTATAAAATACTGGCCCTGTAAATGAAGAGCTTTTCTGAAAGGCAAATACTGCAAGAGTCTCCACTAAAAATACTCTTATATATTTTTCAGGCATGAATGGGATGAAATGAAATGTGCAGATGTGAAAAAAGACACTTTGCTTAAGCTCTGGCAAATCAAGAAAAGAGAAAATACAAAACATAGATTTAATGGTATAAAGGAACACAAAGGTCTGGGAGCAAAAACTTTACGCTTTTCACAGTCTCATCCCTGCAGCTCTATAAAGGCCAGGGCTCTCTCGAAGCTGGAATGGGAATAAACAGCCTCCTGGTCAAGCTCCTAGTGAGAGGAGCCAGCAGCAGCAAACTTGGCAAGCCTGTGCCTGCCAGCAATTCCCACACACACACAAGGGAAAGGAGAAGCAGCCTCTCTTCTCACCAGCTTCTCTTTGGTTTTGGAACTGAACTTCTCCCTCCCTCCAAGGCTGAAGGCCTCCCCTAGTTGTCTTCTCCAGAAACAGTTCATGCTCAAACCTTTCTACATCAGCTTCTTCAGCCCATATCCCTCCATTATACCCCTACCACCTTACAATCCCACCAGAACAAGATAACAATGAGGAGCTCAAAAATTAAGTACTTCTGTCTTAGCTCTTTCTGGATAACAAGATTATTATAAAGTCAATTATTCTCACTGGCAAACATTTGAGTAAAATATTCAGTATTTCTTTATGCAGAAAAAAAATATAAAAGTTTTCCTTTATTACGATTAAGCCCATAAGCTGCAACCTACTTATAATACACACACATTATTCAAGTGAAAACATTCAAGCCTTTGTTATTGATACATTGTAACACCAGCCATAAAATACGTACTGCATGTTAATCACAGAACCACAGACTGGCTGAGGCTGGTGGGTACCTCTGGGGATTGCCTAGTCCGCCCGCCCTTCCACCTACAGTGGGTTGCTCAGGATTGTGTCCACTTGGGTTTTGAATATCTCCATGGATGGAGACTTCCAGCCTGTGTGGGAAATCTGTGCCAGTGTTTGACCATGATATGATATTTACTATGATGGTAATTTTTTTTTTCTTCCATTTAAATGAAAATTCCTATCTTTCACTTTGTGGCCCTTGCCTCTTGTCCTGGCAGATGGGTACCACTGAGCATACTTTGGCTCCATCTTCTTTACTCCTCCCATCAGATATTGATAGACATCGTTAAGATCCCCCCCGAGCCTTCTCTTCTCCAGGCAGAACAGTTCCAGCTCTCAGACTTTCCTCATGAAATAGATGCTCCAGGGCCTTCTTAATATCCTTTGCTGGACTCTGTCCAATATGTTCATGTCTGCCTTGTACTGGGGAGTCCAGGTCCAGACACAACACTTCAGGAGCTGAGTAGAGGGGAAGGATGACCTCCCTTGACCTTCTGGTACCATTGGCCAGGATGGCACTGGCCTTCTGTGCTGCCAGGGCACATTGTTGACTTTTTTCCACCTTTTTGCCCATCAGGACCCTCAGGTAATAAAAAAACCTGTATTGCAGCAACCAAGCTACCAAACCCGTATGTTCTTGTACTGTGATAAGCAAAGGGGAAAATTACGTAGAAAATGAGCAACCAACAACTTAATACAAAGATGTGACACCAACTTTCTTGTCATACAGGTACTAGTAAGACCCCAGGAAATTCCTTTGGTATTTAGTAAGATACAGGGACGAGATCAGAAAGATTTCAAATGTTATGTGCTGGATGGTGCTTCCCAGACTGGAAGCCAGTTGTGCCAGAGGAAAATTTATCAGGACTCAGAACTGGCACCTCCAAGGGAAAAAATTTTATTTCTGTGCAAGATTGTAGGCTTGGCTCCCCCATGCCAGCAGGTACCACCTCTCCAAAATGTCTCCTTTAAGCTGCTGTGGCTCCTGGTTTGGCCTGT